TAAGCCATCTGACAAACTAGAGAGATGCTACATGGGAGCACAACATTTGTCACTGGGCGTTCTTCTATTGTCTGTATCTCCAGTCGTCTCCTGCAGGCAAATTACTTTATATTTAAATGATTTCTCCCATAGAACTTAATTGCAGTTTCATTACGGAGAGACACACACACACACACACACACACACACACACACACACACACACACACACACACACACACACACACACACACACACACACACACACACACACACACACACACACACACACACACACACACACACACACACACTGGATAGAGCGTCTCATCCCCCTGCAGCCGTGTCTTGGCAGCTGCAGTGTTTCTGCCTGTTACTTTTAGCTGGGTAATTTCCTGCCCTTTGGTGCAAAGTAGCCATCATTTGTTGCTTTTTCTCATCTTCGGCATGACATGGCTGTCTGTAAAGATTTAGAAGTCTGGCCTGTGTAGTTCAGACCTCAAATAGCTTTTTAGTAAACGTCTACTTGTTATGGTCTCAGTCCCAATGTCTTGCTCGGTGTGGTCTTTCATAGGATTTACACTACACTCGTACTTTTGGAATAAATACATGCTTTAAAGTTTCTTCGAGGAGTTTTTAACTTGTACTTAACAGTCTCAAGGACCTACATAAGTATCAAGACGAGGCTATTTTCCCTTACCCTAACCCTTTTCCAAAAGAGAGTGACACGCAACAAGAGGCCCTGTAACCGTGACACACATACACCGTCAATACCTCATCTCTCATTCATACATTTGAGTTGAATGAAGGAAATGTGTACTGGACCTAAATGTCCATCCGAAACAATCAGGCTTAACTGTATCTTCTCTTTCTCAATATGCTAACCTTTTCACCCTAGCGAAGCTAAAAGCATTTTGAAATATTTGTTTATAGATATTTCCACAAATGACTTGCATCCCCACTGCATTCAAGTTTTTTGGCAACTTTTTCTTTGCAATCTGAAAAAAAATGGCGGGTAGGAACATTAGTTAGGACACCAATTTCCCATCAAAGTTCCATTTTGCATTTCCCCAACCTCTTTTATGCAGCCTGTAAACATGGCTGTGTTTGTATGTGGTAAATACATTAACATCAAGTCACACATTGTCATTGTTGACACTGGGTTTCATATCTCAGATTTCCAAGAATCCTCACACCGTCATTGGTACCTGATGCACAGGTTCAGCTCAGGCGACAGATATGAATCCCGGTTCTGGCGTATCATCAACCCCTGTGATCCTCCAATGTTGTTCTCCATGGAGACCATAGAAGCCTGTTTGTGCTTTGTGTTACGGCCCAGTGGCTGCTTGGCTATTCAGCCATGATTAATTCAGGCTGGCCTCGGGGGAGAGCAGCCAGGCTAGGTTACTGCGCCAGGGATCTGGTGTCTCTCTGCCATAAAGACAGCTTTTTACCACAGAGCTCTGCTTGGCTCTACAAGAGGGTAGAGCTAGCTACCGTTCACAGCTGTTCCTAAAATAGAGCAATGTAAATGATTTGAACTGAACAATCAAATAAATTGAAAGGTTGTAAACCTCTTTGCCAATGCACCATTAGATGTTCTCACTTAGCTATAGGAAAATGCACTTTGTTTTGAATTTGCATCATGGTTCAAAATATTACAGCCGATTAATGGCAGCATAATTTAGTCTTTTTGTAATATAAAGTATTCTTATTGTATATTGCACTTTGTTATACCCAGTTACAACCTTGACGTTGTGATGTTTCGCACCAACATCACACCGTAAACAACACATAGTTTCCAGGTTTGGAGCAGAGTGCTGCCTAAAGGCCCAGACACACCGGGCCGATTTCGGCCGTCGATAGATGTCTTGCCGTCGATGAGCGTCCTGTCGCCCTACTCAGATTGGTGTGTCCTGCACCGGCGTGTATTTTCGGCCGTGCCGACACCTTCCGCCGCCGATTCGACATGTTGAATCGGGAGGCTGTCGGTAAAAGGCCGTCGGCAAAATAAATCACTCATCACAAGTTCCCGTAAATGTTAGCTCATTTTGTCAGTCGAGACATTGCTGGTGAATCTCTTCAAACAGTACCACCCACTGTGAGATAGTATGACTAGATCATAGTTTAATTTGTCCTTAACCTCTGATTGCAGAGAATGACAAACAAGGTCCAATCTCAGCCCTGTATCTGTGAGTGTCTGTCACTGCGCTGTGCCACTCTGTCTGCATCCATACATGCGCTCTCGTCTCCTTGGTCAACTGACTTTGATGGATGGTTGACTCATACACAGTGTCAGGCTCATACATCAACAGACCTGGCTGCAATCTATCCCCAAAGTTAATACATGGCACAGTGTGGCACAGTGTGATTTATCAATGACTTGCTGAGAGACAAAAAAGGGAAGAAGTCAAGTTACCTGGTGCATGTGTTATTACTTTAACCCTGGCTTGTCCTTTAGACTAAATTGTCTGGTCGACATTTAGACTAAATTCACTTCGTTTTTAATTTAGTAATTCCATTAAAAAAAATGACTTGATATTAGTTTGCCCATCTATCTATCTGTTACTATACCATTAACTAAGTCTACTGATTTATGCAAAACTCTGACTTAATTTAAGAGATCTTTAATCCAAATGAATATCTAAAAAAAACTAGTTGGATCCATCCATGCTGTTTTGGTTAAATGGGATTTAAAATATCTATATTATAATTGGTCTCTAACCCAATACAAGCTATTTTGAAATCACATTTTTGTTTGGGGTCTTCATAGAATTCATATTTTTCAATGCGATCATTTGAAAGAATGCTTTTAACACCCACAATACTATATTAAAAAAGTGCATCCAAACCTTTGCAAAGCTCTCCATGGAAAGATAGAAGTAGGACGAAGAGCGAAAACATTGTTTTTTTTGGTAGGGCTGTGCAATTAATCGTATTTTAATCTCGATTACGATTTTGGCTTGCAACGATTACGAAAACAACGTAATCGAAATAAAACGATTATATTAATTAATTATTAAAAAAAATTTAAATTGGTTTTTCAGTTGAATTATACTTAAAGTTCAGGGTAATCAACTGTTAAAAACATACTGTTCACATATTTTTTTTTCAATAAATGGATGTTTTCCAAGTAAATGGATAATCGTTTTTAATAGTCGTGATATCAATTATTGACCAAAAATAATCGTGATTATGATTTTTGCTATAATCGCACAGCCCTAATTTTTGTTCAATCCAACCTTTAAATGACCTCAAATTACAGTAAAGTTCCTTTTTTCTCCTGCTGACCTCTCATAGCCTCACAAATGAATTTAAGGGGAAGATTTTCCTGTCGCGGAGTTATTGCTCAAACGATTACTCAATGGAAGGAAAATTAATTTTCAACAGTCCTGCTAATAGAATATAAAATTGAGTCATTCATCAAAGTGAAAAGGCTCAACATTTTGTGTTTTCAGCTTCGTTAATGAAAGAGTGGGGTTTTTAATCCATATCCAGAAAGATAGATGCAGATATTTTGTAAAATAAATATATTTAGATTCAAGATCATCGGCATTGCAAAACTCAATGTAAAAATGTATAGAATTATTAAAAAAATGATCTCATTAAACTACAACAATGACTGAATTCTGTGTATTTGTAATGGTTTTATTATTTGTTACTATACATTTTGGTACATGTTAATTTAAATAAACAAAAGCGTAAGGACAAATAAAATAGGCTTTGTGTAAGATTGATCTATATGGTTCTAATGTTAGTTGACATGAAGAAATGAGCAGACCTCTGTGAGAGGAGGTTAAAGGGGACAGTAGGTGAGGTGTGTGTGTCAGTGTTATCATCACTTTATCCACTCCTCCTCAAGGATGTTGTGGCAGCAGCATACCCAGGTTCCCCTCCTTCCCTATCTTCTACTCAACACACATGCCCACTTTATCCAACCTCACTCATTTTAATGGGACAGTTTCCATTCCCTGCACCAAATCATATTGTTTTCACATCCAGCCCGTCTAATGGGCTGCTACGACAATCTCGCATTCATTTTTTTCTGTCCAGTCACACCTTCTTGATTTTAACACGACAGCCTTACCCACAATATTAATATGGCACCAACATTGTTATTTTCCTTATCTTTTTCTATTAGGCAGGGTTCAATAATAAAAATGTCATCACAACTATTAAGAAGTGACAAATTATGACATTTATGTTTCATACAATTTATTTTCACACACAAAGCACATTACTCCACAATAAGACAAGCCTTTTAGCTCAGTGGCTCCTGAGCAAGCTCCAGCTGGAGGTCACTGCTAAGGCTGACTTACACCATGTAATGCATGTGCTTTTCCCCATGAATACAATTTGTGTTTATGATTCAAGATAAAGGCTTGTATAAAGGTAATTGGCTGCAAAGGAAAATGTGTTTATTCTGTTCTCTTTGTACACAATAAATACATTACTGAGTGTAAATATGTTTACACACTGATGCTGTTTTAATACAGGGACCAGGTCACTGTGTTCTATCACTATGCATTTTCTTAAAGATTAATTTGGCATTGCTTCGTCAGATTCTGTAATATGTCACGGCTTCCTACAGGAATAAACAACCTCCAAATGAACTTCTCAGTGTTTGAGTCTGTCTGGATGTCTAAGTTATTGGAACTGATGTTGTGTGATATATTTTGCCTCTGGGTTTATCTCGGTGTCCCAAGGCTAGTTGTAAACGGTTGAATCTGCTGTCAAACAAACACACACACAGACGGACTGACAGAGACCTGTGTTTCTCCCCTGACCTTTAACCCACTTGGCCAGCAGCAGCTCTGATGCATGATTAATGATCTGTGCACACACGAAGTAATGTGAACACATGTAAAGGCTATTTCGAAACTTGTGTTTTGTTTATTATTGCTATTGTTTGACTTACTCAATAACTGACTGAAACACCTTGTCTCAACTCCCCCGTCTCCCTCTTTTCTCTCTCCCTCTCTCCCTCACTCCCTTCCCTCTCTCCTTCTATCCCTCCTCCAGCTGGTGGGAGGCCAGTTTGACCTTGAGATGAACTTCATCATCCAAGAACCCGACAGCATCGTGTGCATGGTGGAGCTTTTGGACAAGTGTGAGCCCACCTGTCAGGCAGAGATCTGGAGCATCTTCAGCGCCATCCTCAAGAAGAGCGTGCGCAACCTGCAGGCGTGCACTGACGTGGGGCTCATCCAGCTGGTGCTGCATCGCATATCCACCACTGACAGCATGATCGCAGGTACCTAGTGACAGCACGTTGTGCGAAAAGTAATGTGACTGCAATATAAATTAAATAATAACATTTATTTTGTAAAGTTAAAGGCAGCGATTTCTTTAAAAGGGTTGTCCCTGATTATATGAATTCCCAGCACACATGTTTGTCACTTGGATGCATTAGTTTACTATTTGACTCCCAGAAAGAGTCATGGAAACAGCATTTTAATTCATGTGTACCAGAGATCAGCTCAATCGTGTTTAGGGAATTCAGCATGGGAAATCCTAAAATAAAGACTAATATGCTAGAGAAATGAACCTAACATGACCAATTAGTGGACTCATTGACCAAGGGGGGTAAGCCTTATTATGAAGCAAATATATGGTCTACAGCTCCAAACCCCACAGGTCCCGGTAGGCAGGAAAAAAGTGTCTAGCTGCTTTGAGCTCTGTGTGAAGTGAGAACAAGTAAAGACATGAACTCCAACCTCAGGACACAATTGAGTATTTGGAAATATAGTAACTAATTCTAACCCTTCCTATCCACTCTTCCCATATATTGTGACCTCATGGTTTCGTCCTTCATGAGTTCATATACAGAGATGTATTGCAGTCAAAACAGACAACACACTCCTCCTGTACAGACTCCCCAGAGTCCCAGTGTAGTTTGTTGCTCATCTGCAAATTAGTCAGAATTAATCCTACAGTGTTCGGCTCAGTGAACTTTTGCGAGCTAGAACAGCGCTGGCCTGGAGGGTTTGTGCAGCCAAGCAGGGTGATGCAGCCCAGTGCTAACTAGGCAGCTGAAAGTAATGATCATACAGTAGTAATATCCACCACAGTACAAATGCTCTGCCCTTCCCTGAGAACTGTCTCATAGAACTGAAGCAAATTATTTTATTGATTGACATTTTAAAATGAAAAAAACAATTTTATTCATATTTTACACAGTTTTTTTCAATATTTTTGTTTATTTTCTATACTTTTCCGGGAGTTGAAAGGTGACAGCAGAAAGATATGAAGAATGACATGCAACAAAGGTCTCCGGCTGGATTTTTAATGTTGCAGTTTATGATCAATGCCTCAAAAACCACCGGGGCACCAGAACTTTGACTTTTAATGTTGCTCTTACAGTAGATGTGCAGACTGTCTCTTTCTCTCCTCACATCCATGGACTGCTCTGAATCAGTCTGTTGCGTAACACATAGCTGAACAGCAAATATGAAATACTTGTGTGCATATACTGGTACTAATACTTTGCACGGAAATAGACCTAGCAGATAAAAGTGCCACTCATTATATTTAAAGGTTTAAACCAAGGCTTATGTATGTGCACACTACTCATATCTGTCATACCATGCCCTGTCATTAGTCCGTAATAACTAATGAAAGAGGCTGCCGACTCCCAGAGTGCCTTCTCTATTTTACCCATGTTTTTTTTTTTAAATGTCTGAGCTGCTTAGCTTTTTGCTTAACCTCTGCAGCTTCACTGTAATGATCAAAATGCCAATAAAGATTATAAAAAGGAGCCGGATTTCTTTAAAAATAAAAAATCAGGTGCCAGCTCAGGAATTATTATATATATTTGGGACTCATTCTCACTTCTAAAGTAAATGATTGTATCTTCTTAGTCTTTCTGTGTAATTATAACACACAATGTTTAACCCCTTTCTGAATGTGTGTGTGTTTTGCAGACCTACTGGTGGACATGTTGGGCGTGCTCGCCAGCTACAGCATCACAGTGAAAGAGCTGAAGCTTTTCTTCAGCAAACTGCAAGGGGAGAAGGGCCAGTGGGTGAGTCGGAGTATTCCACGGTGATCTGTCTTGGTTGTCTGGAACCAGCGTGAGGAGTGTGCTAGCTACAACTGCTGCCATCCCGCAGGCCACTGCCCTGGTCACAGGGACAAGATAAATCATGTGAAACCAGGCTACTACTCTGCCAGAGCACCACCACATTAATGATATTCGGTTGTTCATGGTATATCCAAAAAACATGAATTTGCTAATATTAAGCAAAATGTTGAGAATTGGCTTTCACACATTTTAAAGTTTTCAAAAAACAGACTGCCTATGCTGTTTTCTGTCGGTGTGTGTGCACCTATAAGGACATAGCCCCAGTGAACTCAAGATGTATGATACATGTACTGAAGATAAGGTACTACATCTTGGCAGGACCCGTGGCACACAGGGAGAGACAGATGAATGGAAGTAAAGTAACCCATCAATCTCTGACCGTAATCAAACTGTCAAGGAAATGGGGCTTTTATTCTCCTAAATTTCACCTCACTCCCACTTTCAAGCCGCTCCTGCCAACGCTCCTATCGTAATTTCATCTTTGGGAAATATCTAGGGTGGTTATGATGATTGCAAAACTTTAACTACAAAGTGCTTTGCTATTGCACTCTATAAACCACAACCCTGTTGAAAATCGTACAAATATATAGTATTTTTATCACTCACAATAAACAAGCTGCAATATCTGGATCTTTAGAGCAACATATTTGTGATATTATGAAGTAAAAGGAGATACTAAATTCAGAGTGTGCTGCTTAGCAAATCTCTGGATGTCAAACTTGATGAGGTCAATCAATCAATCAATCAATCAATGTTTATTTATATAGCCCAATATCACAAATGTTACATTTGTCTCAGTGGACTTTACAGTTTGTACAAAATATCAGTATGACAATACGACACCCTCTGTCCTTAGACCCTCACATCGTACAAGGAAAAACTTCCGGAGAAAACCCACAGTTTAAAGGGAAAAATGGGAGAAACCTCAGGGAGAGCAACAGAGGAGGGATCCCTCTCCCAGGACGGACAGACGTGCAATAGATGCCGTGTGTAAATTGAAAAGATAATACATTTGCAACATAGGTAGTCCAAATGTTTGGAAATGCATGTGTGTATAATAGGAAGATGAATCCACGAGGATATCCATCCAGGACCTATGATCCAGGACCACAGCCACGACTCAAGATCCAGGGCTCGCGATCCAGGACAGAGGAGCGCAGGATCATCCATGACTCCGGATCCCGGCGTATATAGACACCAAAAAGAAAGACATTTGGGGAAGCTGGGTTAATCGGAACATGAGAGTACACAGGTATAGACAGAGAGAAGGAAGAAGTAAGATGTCCCCCGACAAACTAAGCCTATATCAGCAAAACTAGGGGCTGGATCTAATCAGCCCTAACTATAAGCTTTATCAAAAAGGAAGGTCTTAAGCGCACTCTTAAAAACGGATAGGGTGTCTGCCGCCCGAACACAAACTGGAAGCTGATTCCACAAATGTGGAGCTTGATAAGAAAAGGCTCTGGCTCCCATTGTACTTTTAGAGACTCTAGGAACAACCAACAACCCTGCATTCTTGGAACGCAATGCCCTAGTAGGACAGTAGGGTATAATGAGTTCTTTAAGGTAAGATGGCGCCTGCCCATTAAGGGCTTTGTAGGCGAGAAGAAGAATTTTAAATTCTATCCTGTGTTCTATAGGGAGCCAGTGTAAGGCAGCCAGAACAGGAGTAATGTGGTCCCTTTTCCTAACTCTGGTTAGTACACGAGCCGCAGCATTTTGAATCAGCTGAAGCGACTTGACTGACTTCTTGGTACACCCTGATAATAAAGAGTTACAATAATCCAGCCTTGAAGTAACAAATGCATGGACTAGTTTCTCTGCATCGTTTTGAGGCAAGATATGCCTGATTTTTGCAATGTTACGTAGATGGAAGTAGGCGGTCCTTGAAATTGATTTTATGTGGGCGTTAAAGGATAAATCCTGATCAAATATAACACCAAGATTCCTTACAGTCTCACTGGAGGCCAAATTAATGCCATCCATAGTTAGTATATCCTTAGATAATTTGTTTCGTAGATTCTTCGGGCCAAGTACAATAACTTCAGTTTTGGTCGTGTTTAACATCAAAAAGTTTAAGGTCATCCACGTTTTTAAGTCCTTAAGGCAGTCTTGAATTTTATTTAGATGATTAATTTCATCAGGCTTGATTGATAAATATAGTTGAGTATCATCCGCATAACAATGAAAGTTTACAGAATGATTCCTTATAATATTGCCTAACGGAAGCATATATAATGTGAACAAAATAGGTCCGAGCACTGAGCCCTGTGGCACTCCATGGCTAACTTTGGTTTGCGTGGAAGATTCATCATTGACACGTACAAACTGAGAGCGTTCAGATAGATAGGACCTAAACCAGTCTAAAGCAGTTCCCTGTATGCCAACTAAGTGCTCTAGTCTTTGCAATAAGATATCATGGTCGATAGTATCAAATGCAGCACTGAGATCAAGCAAAACAAGAATAGAGACACGTCCCTTGTCAGAGGCTATTAGAATGTCATTTGTGACTTTAACCAGAGCTGTCTCTGTGCTATGATGTGTTCTAAAGCCAGACTGAAAAGCTTCAAATAAATCATTGTTTTTTAAGTAATCACACAACTGTTTTGCGACCGCTTTCTCAAGAATTTTTGAGAGGAACGGAAGATTAGAAATAGGTCTATAATTGGCTAAAACCTCTGGATCGAGGTTGTGCTTTTTAAGAAGCGGTTTTATCACTGCTACTTTGAATGATTGTGGAACATAGCCTGATAATAAAGACATATTCATAATATTTAATAAATAAGTGCTAATTAATGGAAAAACTTCCTTCAACAGCTTAGTTGGAATTGGGTCTAACATGCACGTTGATGGTTTAGAAGAGAGAAAGGTAAATTTAGAACAAGCAGAACCAAAGCTGTACCTGCTTTAATCATTTGTGGCATCATGCATAACAAGTAAGTGTGTCATTTGGGTTCATATGCTTTCATGTGCCTGTGTTTTGAACACCATCCGTGGTGTAAATACGTTGTGTTTTCTTCCCCCAGCCTCGCCACGCAGTGAAGCTTTTGTCAGTTCTGAAGTACATGGCTCACAGGAACGGCCCTGACTCATTCTTCAGCTTCCCGGGGAAGAACGCAGCTGTGAGTATACTTCATAGTGTCATACAATGCAACACAGAATATAAAAACATCCCATAAAGGGTGTTTGCACATGGGTGATGAGCTGGACTGCGCTTTTGAATGTTTCAATACATTAGCATCAATATTCCCTGCTTCATATTAATGCAAACAATGCAGATGCCAGCAGATTGTGGAGCCTCACCATGACTGTTTCCCAAAATGTAAAATAAGTTCTTTATTCTTCCCATTCTTATACATACATTTATTATAAACTGATGGTATGAAAACAAGTGAGCACTTTAGATATTACACGATGAGTTCTCCTAAATCATTTCATAGTAATTGCTTTCTAAGCTGATTTCCTGTGAGCCAGCCATTCACTGACCCATGCAGTGTTTCAACAAGCTTCACAGATTCTCTTAGTTATTTTCTACCATTACAACTCAGACCATTTTACAGCCTTTTGTACTCTTGCTGAAATGATGTCAAGTATCTAAAGATTGAGCTGTTTAAATGCATGATGCTTTGGCTGTTGGCTTTTTTTCAGCTTTTGGACTATTCAAATCATGCTCTGAGAATTTGGGTTGTACCTTCCCTACATATTATCCCATTCACAACCTCACTGTTCTTTGTTGATCAGGCCACACAAACAGGCTGTGTCCTTTCCTTGCCCTTCTATAGAAACATAATGTATTTACTTTAACATCCTTTATTTTGGTTGGAGAGTGGCATACTGTGATGAATTCTAAGTAAACAACATGCCCTTGCACTTGTTGAACAAAACACAATACAATATACAGAATCATTTTCTACAGAAAAAAAACACTTAAAGGTGGTGTAGGTACGTTTGAGAAACCGGCTCGAGATACACTTTTTGTTGTATTCCATGGAATGCTCTTAACATCCCGATAGCAATGAATATCTTAAGTGCTTTGACAAAAAATCCATTAAAAAAATGTAATCTGTGGAAGCCGTGGCGCTGTAAAAAGCACGACCAATCATTTTAGCCGGCCCGGCTAAAGTAACTGGATGGCCTACCTGCCTGTCAGCCTTCCATCTCGTGCACAAACTTATCCCCTGCCCTCATTGGTCATGTGCGCGTTCGTGTGTGTTGGAGGAGGGGCTCTGTAGGAAGTCTGAAGGAAAAGGCAGATTTTTTCCGGCTGCGTACTTTCAAATTCTAGCGCACTCGAGCTGGTTTCTCCATTCTTACCTACCCTACCTTTAAATATCAATGTTTAATGATTTTTATTAAAAGTAAAATGTGTCTGCTCTCTAGTTTTAATGGCACAGTTTGTGTCATCACTGCACTGAAACCTTCTCTCTGACTCAATACATCAGAACTACTCTTCAAACAATCATTAATGCTACACAGAAAAAATGATAAAAACAAACGGTATGTAAATGTCTTCAGACTGAATCTGTGTTTAGGAGTAAAGGACACATATTGTCACACTAAGATTAGTGCACTTTTTATTGCATTACATGTTCTTTGTACAGGAAGCTATGTAATTGTGTGCACCATTGAATGTTGCCTTGGGCAATGTCAGGCCCCTTACATAGTGTATGTGATTGCCAACTTCTGTATATAACCATCCATTGCCATGGTGACGGTGCTTTTACGAGTAAAAGCAAAGCAGGATTGGGTCTGAGACCTCATCTTCCTGTGTTGCCCTGCTTCACACATTCATACACACAAAAACATTATTTAGAGAAATATATTTCAAGGGGCCTTTGCTTGATTACTTTTTGTGGCCTTTTGACATTCATTTCCCCCGCTTCTGGTTGACCTATTGTGACCTTCTAACCCAACTGTTTTTTTTAAGTACATTTTAAAATGATCACTGTTCCACTACTCATACCATGTCCTCTTTTCTGTTTGTATTTGTCTCTCTAATAGGCTATAGCTCTGCCTCCTATAGCAAAATGGCCGTACCAGAATGGCTTTACATTCCACACGTGGCTCCGCATGGATCCTCTCAACAACATCAATGTAGACAAGGACAAGCCTTACCTGTACTGGTAGGTAACAATGCCAACCTATGAATAATAGATGCATTATTCCCTTTGTTTAGCATTAAAATGTTATTTTTTAATGTATGCGTATCACATATGCAGATATGAGAACTTTGCTTAAGGATGTAACACAAAGAGAGGAATTACATGAAATGTTTCACCACAGGTGTATTCATTTGAATTAAGGTGTCTAAGTTTGTACTTATGCATGTGCACATGTCACCAGTAAACAAAGATGTATCATAAACTCACTCCCAAAAATATGCTGCAGCCTCACAGATGAAAAACGCTTGTACTTCTCTCTCCATCTTCCCTGTCTCATTATCCTTCGCTTCCTGTCTGTGGAGCGGAGAGTTGGTTGATCTTCTTTTCAACCAATAATTAATTTCTGTCAAAAATCTAATTTATACAGCAGTGATCTGTTTGGGCTCCTGTGAAAATGATAACCGACTTGAGTGGCCAACGAGCTGCTTGAGAGCATTTGTAATAAAAGCTCCCCTTCAGCCTTGTGCCCTTTTTTAAAGAGATTAATTCACTAAATCACACTGCCGGGGCCCATCTCGCCGGGGCATGCAGAAGGATGAGAAGAATCTGTGAAGTTGAGAAATGATTGTTTGCTATCTTTATCCTTTTGAGACCCTTTTTAAAGTGCTTATATGATATATTAGAGACTACAACCCGTGTTGCCCTTGAAGGCAGTCGGCTTGAAAGTGTGCAGCCTCGCTCGGAAACTAACCCTTTGTGTTTGTTTTCTCCCTTGATTTTTATTTTCCAGTTTCCGCACCAATAAAGGCATGGGTTACTCTGCACACTTTGTGGGGGGCTGTTTGATAGTGACCTCATTAAAATCCAAGGGGAAAGGGTTCCAGCACTGTGTAAAGTACGACTTCAAACCACAGAAGGTAGGAAAAAAACAACGCAAAGCAGAATACAGGCATTGGTTTGGTGACCCAAGCACATGAAAAGACAAATCCTGGATATGTCTCTGTAGATGGATCACAGAAATCAGAATCACATGCACACACTCAAACACACATGTGCACTCACAATAAATCTAGACCTGGCTGTACGAAGGAACTGTCACACCTTACCTGACTCTGGGGAGAAGCTAAGCTAGAAGGAGGAGGGAAGAGGGAGACCGTAGAGAAGGATTATCCAATACCCAGAGTCCCTTCCAGGCACAACATACTCTGGAAACCATTGCAGTCCAAAACATCTTTTGCCTGTGGACAATTAAAAAAATCCTTCTCCTTCCCCTGGGCAGAAAGACATCACACTACCTCAATAAACCTCATGAGGACCAAACAATCACTTTAGTTGATTTTTTCAATCTATTTTTAGTGTCGTCTTTTATGTCCGGAAGAAATCGTAATAACCTATTTTACTGTGGTTACTCTGGTAACCCATTTCAGTGGTTGTCAGGCTGAGGAGGAAACCAGAAATCTAAGTAGGTGGGATCATAGCTTGAGGGGACAGAGTCTTGAAACATGATGGAGGCTAATTGAGTAAGCTAGAAGATTCTCACCACACGCTGACTTATTGATATCTTGTTGTGTGATTGATACTCCAGATAAACAGTTTCCCATTGTGAGAGTCTGCTTCTTTCTGTTTTTTCATCAGTGGTACATGGTGACCCTCGTTCATGTGTACAACCGCTGGAAAAACAGTGAAATTAGCTGCTTTGTGAACGGGGAACTGGCTTCCTTTGGAGACATCGCCTGGTTTGTCAACACCAGTGACGTAAGTGAAAAACTATTCAAAATATCTTACGCTATTTGTAAGTCACCCAGTAGGGGGCAACAGACGTTTCAGATTGATATTGGTATACAGTACATTCTCATAAAAAAGCGAATACTTTATATTGTAGACGGCTATGTGAGACAGTGGAGGATTTGTAACGGTTTAAGTCTGTTTCATTACCTACACTCCAAACACTCTTATTGTACGGTCAATATTAAGCTAAAGCCTGCAAACGGTTACCTTAGCAGCACAAAGAGAAACTGTGGAAGATTCTGCACCAAGCAAAGAAATAGTCTTGCACTTACCCCTTAAAACCAGATTTGGTGCTTTTCGAAAAATAATGTTTTCAGTTTTTACTATTCAAACAAACAACACATGCATTTTAGTTTTATATTGGTACATTTAAATGTACTAAAAGTAATTTTGTTTGTTTTTGGATAGAGCAAGGCTAGCGATTTCCATCTGTTTGAGGCGTTATGCTAAGCTGAGCTAATGTCTGCTAACTGTACTGTAGCTTAATATATTCAATGCAGACCCAAAAATGGTATCACTGTTTTTATACAAGATATGACGAGAAAGTAAATAACATATTTTAGACCGCCTACTAATTCTTTATCCAGCCCTTTTCTGTGGATGTGTTCTGTGTTTACTTGTGAATCAAAAAATATTAATGCTTGAATCATCTGGCAAGATTTTTATGTACAATTCCACCTGCGGCTACATCAGGGTATAGGGCATGTGGGCGCATGGAACAGTTTTCTGTCAATATCAATTTTAGAACCAGTTATTGCTGCGGGAGTGTGTACCAAAAACTTTAAAATAAACCTCACTCGCAGATATCTAATCTCACTCTTTGCTTTTGAAGGGTCTGGGGGCCATTATTTTCATCTATTAGTATGGGGTAGCACAGCGGAAAATGACTACATATATTGCACACACCCTGCTCCTCTCACACATCACCATATGAACTCTGTCACAATCCCTAGGATTGCTTTCTGTCATGCTGCGCTATGAGATTCTTAAATCAAATTTTGTCAGGAATGAAAACGCCTCCACAGCGCAGTGTAATCCTCTTGATGTGACAGTATGTCCCGAAAGCAAATTAGCAATTTGATTGAGACGTGTCCTCATCGTTCTCAACACTTCTGCCTCACTGACCATGACCAGAGGAAGATGAAACGGTATCAAGTTAGCCACAGTATGTTTATAGTTTGGGTCTGTGTATTGCCAATTATAGCTTGTGTTGCCATGAATACGCCTTTTCCCTTTGTTCATTCAGGCTATTTTTGGTCTTTTTATTCCTTTTGTTCCTGTATCAATTCCTTATTTCTTACTCCCTTGCCTTCGTCTTAAATTTTATATTTCAATTTGTTTTCTTCCTAAAACCCTACCTCCAACCTCTTTCCTGCTACAGACATTTGACAAGTGTTTCCTGGGATCGTCAGAGACGGCAGATGTCAACCGTGTGTTCTGCGGACAGATGGGGGCAGTATACCTGTTTGGAGAGGCTCTCAGCGCTGCTCAGATCCTGGCCATCTATCAGCTGGGGCCGGGGTACCAGGTGGGCATTAACCCTGAGATGGTTGTGTGATAGATACTTATTACATTACATTGCATTTAGCTGACGCTTTTATCCAAAGCGACTTACAATAAGTGCATTCGACCAAGAAGATACAAACTCAAGAAAACAGAATCATATCATCAGGTTTCATAGAGCTAAAACATTTCAAGTGCTACTCAACTAGCTTTAGATAAGCCAGTCCTTTGTTAGTATATGAGTGCTTTGTTAGTATATGAGTGCTTTGTTAGTATATGAGTGCTTTGTTAGTCATTTTATCGCTCGAAGTGAAGTCGAAAGAGATGAGTTTTTAGTCTGCGCCAGAAGATGTGTAAGCTTTCTGCTGTCCTGATGTCAATGGGGAGCTCATTCCACCATTTTGGAGCCAGGATAGCAAACCAAGGTCAAGGTTGTTTATTTGTCATACGAACATAGCTACAGTGTAGTTATGTCGATGAAAATCTTACGTCACAGGCTTCTCCAACAGTGCAACACAATAATACAGAAAAACAGAAAAAATAGTGCAAGTAAATTATTAAAAAGTAAATACAAAAAGAAAAATAGTTTAAAAAAAAGTGAAATAGTGAAATAAGAGTCTATATGCAAGCTATTGGAATTATATATTAGATAAGATAAATAATTACTAAGTAGCAGATGAATGTTATGGATGTTGTTACAACAGTTCAGTTGTTTAACAGTCTTATTGCCTGTGGGATGAAACTGTCTCTGAGTCTGGTGGTTTTTGTCCGGATGCTGCGGTAACGCCTGCCAGACGGCAGCAGGCAGAACAGTTTGTGGCTGGGGTGATGGGGGGTCTTTTATAATCCGGAGGGATTTCTTCCTGAGCCGCTGGGAGTATAGGTCCTCCATGGATGGCAGCTCCCTCCTGGTGATGTTCCGGGTGTTTTTGCTGATGGGAACTTATAATGGAGACATAACGGAGTATAACAACTTAGGCAAATGAAGCTTTATAATAATTTAGTTTACTTCTGTAACACTGACATCTTAAATGTCTTTAAATGTATCATTCTTAAACCAAAAGGAAAAATGAGCATGGTTAGATAAGCTTCGCCCAGTGAGTGATGTTGATTAGCTGTCAGATGATACCTCACAATAAATGTTTTCGAGACCATGATGTTGGTTGAGAGTTAGATTCTATCAACAACAAAGTGAGATGTCATAACAAACTTGACATTAGACGCTCCGTTTTAGCCTTAAGCACAAGCATAGCAGTTTAAACAAGAAGTGTATATATATATATATATATATATATATATATCTTATTATATTTAGAGCTTTTAGAGCCTGTGTGTATATATAAGGAAAAAAACACCACACACTGGTCTCCACCTCAACACACCCGCTGACAAACAATAAAGATACAAATCAAAACAAATAAGGTCGACAGAGTAGAAAATAATCATCCATGCATGCTCGGGTGTGCTGCATCTCCAGTGACCCTGATCGCTGTGATGGAAATGTCGATACGTGTTGGAATTTTCCATACATTGTTGCAGTCCATGGATGTGCTATGAATGTGAAGGTAAAAGGTAGTTCAATTAAGCTGAATGGTACATTTTTTTTGTTGTTTGTGTGTTTTGAGCAGATAACTTTGACGCTGCCTTATATTAGCAGCAGAGTCAATATTGTTCTTAGTGTAGACACATTTTGTAATCTAGACACAAAAATGTGAATCTAGTAGTGCGAATAGTATAACTGTTGTGTTCTCTACAACTGAATGTCTCTCCCTCTCATCTCCTTAGGGCACATTCAAGTACAAGGCTGAGAGTGACTTGCTGTTTGCGGAGCATCATAAGACCTTACTGTATGATGGCAAGTTGTCCTCCAGTATCGCCTTCGCTTACAACCCTCGCGCCACCGATGCCCAGCTCTGCCTTGAGTCCTCCCCCAAGGACAACGCATCCATATTTGTTCACTCACCCCACGCGCTCATGCTGCAGGTAATTATTCCTTTAATGTGACATTTTGTGTGCATATAAACTTATTCCAATAAAGTTGATTATTACTGAGTTAACTGTAACCAAAATAAACCATGCTGACATTAAAGCACATTCTCCACCTGCTTCTTCCCTCCCACTGTTCCATATGAACCACTTTTGACTCTTTCCTCTGCGATAATGAAAGTGGCCCAGTTGGCATCTTTTAATTTTAATTGCCTCATTAGGGCAGAGGTGCAACTGTGTTCAGCTAGCCAGACTGCTACAGCTGCTGAAAGGCTTCCTGCTGCTCTAACTGTGGAATTAGCCTTCTCAAAGACTCGGGTTCAGTTTGCAACTACACACGTGTCGCTGTGCATTTTTCCTGTTAGAAGTAGGTGGTGACCTTTTTGTGGAAGTTTTTCCTATGTGGCTTACACACACACACACACACACACACACACACACACACACACACACACACACACACACACACACACACACACACACTAAGGTTTCCTTTTCTCAAGCACTAATTGAGTTCTCTCTCATGCCCTCATCAAAGAAAATGCTTTGTTTCCTTTGTGAGGGAGGCTTTTGCTGCCACACACAACATATGCTTTCTTCACCACACAAACACACATGAAAACTAACACACACACACACCATGTAAAATATGAATGAATATGTGACCTATATTTTCAGATTTGCTATGCCATGTGCAAAACCTCCATTTCTATAGAGGAAAATGTTTTGCCAAGCCACTGTTTGTGTCGTGACGTAAAACACAGACATCAGATGAAGGAAATATAACCAGGTTTTCCTGATCCTTATGTTTTCAACATGTTTTGCACAAGTTAGAGAAGAGGTCAAAGAACCAAACACCTAGTATTGAAATCTTGGATTATACTCACTCTCTCCAACATTAAGCTTATTTGTTTTGTTGGCACTTTAAGAGCATTTTGCAGCAGTAAAATATTCAAATGACTATTCATCACAGTTTTGTTCCTGTGAGGATAAAAAGCAGACTGTTAGTCACAACAAAACAAAATGGTGTTTTTTGTATTATACCATGTAACTACATCCAAGTACTAAAATATGTCAACACATGAAGCTTATTCCGTGCACATAACTGATTTCCATGTGACCCACATGCAAATGTTGCCTATGTAACAGCCTCGTGTGTGTTTGTTTCGGTAGGACGTGAAGGCCGTGGTGACTCACTCAGTCCAGGGCGGCATTCACTCTATCGGAGGTGTGCAGGTCCTCTTCCCTCTGTTTGCACAGCTGGATTACTGCCAGCCCTCCAGCCATGAGCTGGACACCTCTGTCTGGTAAACACACCCCCACACACAAGCACTTTAATGAATGATTTTGTTTCTCCTACACTTAATCAGGTTTTAATTGTGCTGCATCAAGTCACTGTGATAGTTTTAAAAGACTTAGTATAAATATTGAAGGAATACTTCACCCTCATAATGAACTCTATGTCAATTACTCACCCCGTGTTACCGTGAAATCTTGTTTAAGATGTAGATTTTCTTGAATTCCTCCACAGTTAAAATGTAAAAAAAGGACAACTGGTTAGTAAGATAAAGAAAAAGGTGGCCAGGTTTAACAACAGTAACACTTTTTTAAAACATCTGTTACACAACTCATGGAGTATAATACACGTCTCCTTTGTCCAGTCTTAGCCTCACTTCTGCCCAAACGTATGAAAAACACTAACTACGAGTGAAGAGCTTTTCAGTTTGTTACTAACAATTGTTTATGCCTGCGTATATTGTCGAAATGAGACTAGCAACAAGTTTTTTAAAAAGCTGTTTCAACTTTTGATTTAACGCTCAGCCTGAAAGCTGTGAGGCCATCTTGCTTATGAATTTGCAACGTTGTTAAATCTGCTGCCCTCAAGTTGATGCTGGAATCTGCCCTCCTAACACAATGGGGACACGACACCCTCATTCAATCACATTTCATGTAGGATATGCCCTTCACAGTCAGGGCTTTGTCAGCAGCTTACATAGATTATTGTCACTGTCTAACTCACCCTCTCTCTCTCTCCTTGTCTCTGTTTGTCCTTCTGTCTATCTCTGCCTTTTAGCTGCACTTTGTTATCCTTTGTGATGGAGCTCTTGAAGAACTCAGTGGCTATGCAAGAGCAAGTCCTTGCCTGCAAAGGCTTTCTCGTCATCGGCTACACTTTGGAGAAGGTGAGAAAAACACAAATTGTCTCAGCTGGAAAAAAAATACATGAGAGAGCCATCCTCCCGTACCAGTAGCTGCGTAATGAACCCAGAGGCGTAATAAGGCCTGATTCCCTTAACGCCACAAACACACTTACACAGGCACACACCGACACCAACACTTAATATGAGCCAGACTTTGTTTTCCCTCAGCTGTATTTGGAGGTCACAGCTGGCTTGGTGCTTGTTAGGCAGAAGAGGAGATCTTCCTCATTGTTCTCTGCATGTGTCCTTTGCATGTCTTTGACTCCTCTCTCTGACATATCACCCTCTCATTTTCTCACCTGCTATTGTCGCACTCTCTGCCCCCCCCGTCTGTGCTCCAGTCTTCCAAGGTGCATGTGACGCGGCCCGTCCTGGACATTGCGCTGGCCTTTTCCAGATACCTTAGCAACTTGCAGAATGGCATCCTGCTGCTCAAGCAGCTGTGTGACCACATTCTGTTCAACCCCGCCATCTGGATCCATGCCCCTGCCAAGGTAACAGAAACACACGTACACACACAGCAGCCCATTCTTATGTATTTGGTTGAATACATGTAGACAATACAGCAATACAGAATGTCTATTTGTTTCTTTTATGCAGCTGTGTCTGTTGTAATATTTTATGACGTCAATATAAATGTAAAAAGTGGTTCATCGGATTCAATGTTTAACCAGGAGAGCAAACAGTTTTTGTGGCTGCCGTGAAAACGTTATTTTTGAAACGGTAAACGCATATACATCAAAGTAGAATATTATGTTGGATAAAGACACGTTATGACATTTTTTAATTATTAAACGTATCATCTTCAAAAATGTTTGACTTTAGGACTTAACAATATCTAGAGTTGTTGGAAATGTTTGTATCATATGAGTTTGATCAATCATAAGCAGCAACCAGTGAAATCTATTTCTGCAAATAGTTTTATAAAATGAGTGTAGCCCAATCTTGATTTGCAACAGTGCAGACATAAGTTAGAATCCAATTAGATAGACATGCATAAAGAAGCTGCTGTTGATTTAGGAGGTGAATTTCAACCTTATGAATACATCTTTATAGCTTCAGTTCTCAGTATTCAGTATAGCCCTGGTAACATATCGGTTGCTATGTACAGTAGTCATCACCCTCTCTCACTCCGTTTTGATCCTGCCCTACATTTTATTTATAGTGTTTCAGAGTTCAGCTCAGAGTTCAAGGTTATCCTTCCACCTGTGACTCAGTCACTGCTATGTAAATAGAAAGGCTTGCCTCCGACCATCAGGGGCTCAGAAGCTGGGACACACTAAAACCGGATTATTCCGCTCAAACTATCAAGCTTGTGTGTAAGTGTGTTTTTATATGTGCTTTATCTGTTTACAGGTGCAACTGACACTCTACACTTACCTGGCAACGGAGTTCATCAGCACTGTGACCATCTACAACACCATCCGCAGGGTGGGCACGGTACTGCAGGTCATGCACACACTGAAATACTACTACTGGGTCATCAACCCCCAGGACCGCAGTGGAGTCGTGCCCAAAGGCATGGGTGAGGATGCGCTGAAACATATATTGTATATAAAATGTGATGCATGCTCCTGATGTAACTTGATATGTCATCTGAAGTATATGTTCACATCGTGCAGTCAAAACAACATTTACATGTAAACATTCGTATGTACACAGAAATATGGACCCACACATAAAGATACGCTGCACCAATGCTCACACTTTAGCATCAAGTGCAGATCTCTGCTTCAACAAATAGATTAATCCTGTTATCATTTCTTGCGTTATCCTTCTGAATCTGGCTCATATGTCAGCTCCGCTCAACAGCCATTGTTTGCCATTTTGTTTTTCAGATGGTCCGAGACCAAACCAGAAGGAGATCCTCTCTTTGCGAGCCTTTCTTTTGTTGTTTGTCAAGCAGCTCATAATGAAGGTACGTTGATGATGTCACGGCCCAATACCCCCATCATCAAATAGAAAACAGGCTTTTATTGACTCTGGCACATATGAATGTCAATATTATTTCTTCTCGTGGTTCCATTAGTTTTATTTATATAATAAATGTAGTTGCTGGTGCACTCGTATTACAGTGGAGTTGTGTTCTGACTGTCAATGTCTCCAGCAACATGCATTATTAATATGATCAAGAGCGAACTAGTTGCCACTTTATACAACAGCAAGAGTTGTTAACTGTAGCTCATCCCGTAATGAACTCAAATGTCAGCTTTGCAATTGAAGCTTTTAGCCCTCATTACATCTTTCGATTGCTAAAGAATGTGCTGCCATTTACGTGGATGCTTCTCCGTATTTAAACATTATTGAAACCAGTGAGAATAAAAATGCCTATTCACAAACTGGCACGACGGTTTTATTGAATGAATATGAATGTTAATATATCTAAACATTTTTATTTGCTCTATTAAGAACCATCTTAACTGCGGCTGAACTGTACAGTATTATAATGAGATATTGATATCATGATGGGAGAATACATATTGCTTGGGATTTTTGTTTTGTACTGCTCCAACTATATTGCTTGATGTTGTTATAGTCAGCTCCTTATCTTAAGGTGAAATAACCATTTGATGTCCCTCCCTGTTTGGTTATCATATAAACATTACTTGGGATTTTTTTGTTTTCTTGTACAGAAAACCTCTTTGCCACATTGAATTTACCCCAAAGTCACAATATTATTATCAGAGAAAACTCTGGTTGTGTATTAGTTTTGCAGATATATCAATAATCTCTGTGTAAAATTATTTGTGGAATTTTTTTTTAATATTCCAGGATCATGGAGTGAAGGAAGACGAGCTGCAGAGTATCCTCAACTACCTCCTGACCATGCATGAGGTAGGCTGTTGTTACTGCAGCGCTGACCACCAGATGGCAACCTCACACTGCTGCGCTGCACTTTGTCCTCCCACCGTCTGATATGCAGAGCAATAGCTAACTTTTCCTGTTGCTAAACGCACGATCGCTGTTCCTTGTTATTTTTCCAAGTCTGCCAGTTAGACGTCCTGACAGAAGTGGATTGTTTAGAGTGGAGTGATGCATAACAAATGAATCAGTCAGATCAGTCAGTGAGGCAGTGAACCTTGTAAGAATCAAAGGGTGATTACAACATTGCCTAAAAAGCCTACTGACATGTAGCAGCCGTTCATTTCATAGAACACAGATTGTAATTCTTTAGATGCTTGTAATGTCATTAAATATTTCTACTGTTTTTGATCACCTTTCCGTCTCACATTACAGCTACTATTAAATTCAACAACAATAATTCGCAATGATACACAAGTATATGCCGTTGTGTTGTTTTGTCATATATAACTTCAGCTCAGCTTCATTAGTATTTCAGTATTTTCCCTACTGCTCTCTGTTAACACAACAATAGCTTCAAGTCCTTTCCTCTCTGTCCCACAGGATGACAATCTCATGGACGTGCTGCAGTTGCTGGTGGCTGTGATGTCAGAGCAGCCGGGGTCCATGGTCCAGGCCTTCGACCAGCGCAACGGGATTCGGTAATGATCTATGTTTATTTAAACTGCCAATGTTTTCACAGTTTTGCAACGTCGTTTTTGCTCAAAGTACATATTTAAAAGTTGGGCACAGAATTGTTTTTATTGCATAGCTTCAGTGTTGTGCCACTATAGTTTTATCTAACAATGTATATATATATATTTTTTTTAAATAAATAAAAACAACACATTTGATTTTGAATGTTATTTTATTCATTTTCCTTTAATTCCTTTTTCACAGTGTGATTTACAAGCTTCTGGCCTCAAAGAGTGAAGGAATTAGAGTGCAGACCCTGAAAGTAATGGGATACTTTCTGAAACACTTGCCACCAAAGTAAGTACAATTATTGACACTATATTACCCGAGTATAGAAATGTAGTTGGGTAAATGTTTATGTAGTGCAGTCTGTATTACACATCATATTTTTAAAAGTACACCCTTCGTATGGGAACAAATGTTATTATGAAAAATAATAACATATGTCTCAAATCACTCTGAATGTTTTCATTTCCATATCTATTTATTACATTTTTCTGCACTTTTTTTTGTTCCTTTTTGTGACTGAACAATTGTAAAATATTAATGTTGGCAGAAAACTTTCATTATACAGCTGCATTTAAATACCACAGCCAAATCAGGATCAGGTTATGAGAATTCTCTATTGAGCTGCAGGACTCGCTGTCAAAATATGAAGTAAATTAAATGGAAAAAGTGGATATTAATGCATTTAACCACCCCTAGATTATTGTCATTTTGAGGATTTAAAAAAAAAAGTTCGTCTCAATTGGGAGCTGTCTTTTTGTCTAATGGGCAGTCAATTATCGGGTGCTGCTCCTTTAAAAGCTCTTGCTATAACCATGTGCTCCAGATCTCTCCGAATGCCCTGTTTTATTTTGTCTGGTGATGCATAATAACTCTCGGGCTAATATTGCAAGCTGTTCATCAATTAATTTTCACTAATAACCAGCCGTTTAAGTAACAGACAACTCTAGCACCGTGTTGACAAGAGTTTTTTTTAAGTCTTGAGAGCCAGATTGACTGTGAGACAATATAACTTTCTACAGTTTTTTTTAGCTCAGTTACAATACTAAAATTGGAGTTGATACATGATCAGAGATGAAAGCCATGAAGAGGTTCCTTTGAATAACTGCTTTTACTGAGTCAGCAGGGACTCTATTTTTCATTTCCTCCATGTCAAATGTCAACTGGAGCTTCGCTGATTTATACTTCTACAGATTTTAAAATGTATGGTATTTTGGGACATTTTCACTATGAATCAGTATTTTAAATACATTTGAATCGTTGTGGTATTTCAGTGCAACTATAACAACTCAGATTTGTATATTATGTTCCGGTTTAGTGGTTTAGCAAATAATTATGTTTACTGACTGACCTTTGACCTCCTAATTTCCTGATCAGGAGGAAACCCGAGGTCATGATGAGTCATGGCCTTTTCTCCCTGCTCACTGAACGCCTGATGCTCCACTCCGGAAAGTTCACCATGACAACCTACAACGTGCTGTTCGAGGTCAGTCCTCTGCATACGTACACCCTGCAGGCCTCTGCTTACGTGGCTGAAAATATCTTTATAGAAAACAAGGACATACAATAAAAACCTGTGTGTTGAAATGCATGCTTGATATTTAATTTGTTGCCTTTTAAACTCACCTCGTCTTAGTCTAATAGTTTCATTTTTATTATTCAACTTGACAATTTAATGAGTTAGTTTAAATAATAAATTGAATGGCTGTCCTCCTGCAGAAACCTGATTTGACAATTATTCGGCCATATACTACGCGAGGGTGAAACGTATACATAGCTTTGTGTATCCATAGTGTGGTTTGTGTCTCTGTTTTTGTTAAGAGCGATGTGGATATTTATGACTTGAATCCCCTCGCTCTCCCCCGGTAGATTCTTACTGAGCAGATCTGCACTCAAGTGATCCATAAACAGCATCCGGACCCCGACTCCACTGTGAAGATTCTCAACCCACGTAAGTGCCTCCTCTGCGCCACACTACTCTCCTAAATCATCCCCTGCAGCACACCCTCTACATACCTTTTTGCTCCAAACTGCACTTGAGGATATTCCCCATGGAACCGTGAGATCACTATATACAGTCAAACAAATGAAGGACATAAATTTAGCAGCCAGAGGGTATTTTCATACAACTGAACCTCAGATATCATGCATAATCCTAGCATGAGGACGGTGCGAACACTTAACGTGACAAATGTACACACATATGCTAGTTTTATTGAAGGACTGTATCATGTTTTGTCAGGATTCATTTGCATATAGAGAATGATTCATGTAATTTAATCATGATGGCGTGTCAGTGTGGGAAATGTTACATTAAAGTGGATTTAGAGTTTATTCTATTAATGAATTTGCTTAAATTACAACATATTCATAAAGTGTTTGTGTGCACTTTATGGGGTTAATGTTTTAAGTCAATGTGTTTTTATAACTTTATTTAAAAAAAATTACCATGAAGTTAAGTGTTTCATTTTGATATTTTCTCATTAATATATGATTTTAAATATTTGATTGATTATAATATAAAATTGCAATTGTATTACTTGGATAAAAAAAAAGAATAAAATAGTTTGCAGATGCAGACATACAGTATTTATGTATTCACATACATTTACAATCAAGTTCTTATTTTCCTCCCAGTGCATCATTACCAGTAGAGAGTGCCTGCTCATTTTTCATATGCGGTGAAATAATAAGCGGAAACAGCGACTCCAGGCTTTGATCAGTGTTCCCATCTCATATTTTCAGGCCGTTACTTACCTTTAATTTCACGCCAGCTCACAAAATCTTTTCATATGTTGAAATGTTAAGTATTAATTTCAGCGAAGTAAAGAAAACATCTCCTCTCCTTTTTTTTTTTTTACTTTTGTGCACACACTTGCAAAAACAGCTTTAATCAGTTTGGAATCCAAGCGGTTGGTATAATGACAACCAAGGTTTACTTCCAACCAGCCTTAATCTTACAAGGTCCTGCTGTAGTCACACATTGATTATCATAAGCCTTTGTTGTGTTAAAAACTTTCCTACCCAACCATCCTAGACAGGCGGGATATATCACAGAAACCTTGTACGGGTTTGTTTCTGTGAGCACATTCTGGTGGAACACAGAGCGGTGGGTCTGTTTCTCCTTTGCCGTGCATTCTCTTGATTTAATCTGCGACAAACTCCCAAAATGGCCCCCTGATTGCAGTCTTTAGTAACGTCAGAGCCAATCAAACAAACCGAGGAAGTACCGTTTCCCTCAAATTAACTCAAGGGAAAGGAACCCAAAGCAAATGGGGGGAAAAAAAGAAGGGGAATACGCCATCCCTCCATCCTCATTCCCAGTACATGCTGGGGTAATTTTCTGGCGGTAAAGGTTCAGCGACTCATAATTTGAGTGACTAAGGCGTAGAAACAACACAACCGTCTGCCGGGGCAAGGGGGCATCGGTTAGCGCCAAGGTCTGAAGAGACGAGTGAAATCCAAGCCCCGCCGTCTCTCTACTCAAAGTAAATGGACACTGACATTGTCTAGATAATTCATCTAAACAGTCAGTCTCCCAAGCCTACCAGAAGGCCCTGAGACTCTGGCTCTCTGGTTTGAAACAATACCAAACTCATTACAATATGATAAAGATCAAGGGGCCCGGACGTTTTCTTTTTTACTACAGGCACAGATTTTCAGGTGTGTACAGCTGGGAGTTCAGATAGTTTGCGACACAATGATTTGCACATGTTGAGACCAATGTATGATTTAGTGGTTGATTCGTGCTTGTTCTCCTTCTGTGGCCAAAAGTAAATATCACTTCCAAACAGAATCCTTGATGTTTCTAAGTCTAAACTTTTTACTTGCTGTAATGTATGAAATATCTGAATGGACACCACAGACAAACAAGAGTTTTTATATTTTGTTCCACTAACTTTGTGTACATTTCTGTTAATATTTCTAGAAATTCTGAAGGTAATGGCTTCTCTGCTGAAGGCCTCACCCCCGTCCCCCGAGAGCATGGAGGTGCGCAAGGTCTTCCTGTCAGACATGATCAAACTGTTCAATAATAGCCGAGAAAACCGAAGGTAAGAATTCAACCACTTCACAAGATGAAGTACATACAGTGTTTAAATGCCAGTGGGATTCATATTCAGCGCATATATTTCTGTTCCAGGAGCCTGCTGCAGTGCTCCGTGTGGCAGGAGTGGATGCTCTCCCTGTGCTACATCCACCCTCAGAACAGCGAGGAGCAGAAAATCACGGAGATGGTGTACGCCATCTTCCGTATCCTCCTCTACCACGCCATCAAATACGAGTGGGGCGGCTGGCGGGTCTGGGTGGACACCCTGTCCATCACACACTCCAAGGTCAGGGCACTCATTATATCCATGCATGCCTCACACACACACACACACACACACACACACACACACACACACACACACACACACACACACACACACACACACACACACACACACACACACACACACACACACACACATACACTCATCACAGCTTTATTTAGCTTTCCCTGTGGATCTTCTTCCATCTCCTCATCCATTTCATTTTCTCTTTTGCTTTTCATTTCTGTTTCTCTTCGTTTTACCTCACACACTCTTTATCTCTCTGTACTGTACACACACACGTGCACACACACACACACGCTGTCATCTTGCTTCAGTTTTGTCAGCCTAAACATTCACCACATTACTGTAACCGTAGCCCTCCTCCTCAGTTTGATCCCTGCCAAACGGACAGCGCTATTCAGTCAAAGCCATCAGCTCTGTCACCCATGTGTTTAGTTTCAATCTGACATAATGCAATTCATTAAATAAGAAATTAGAGAGCATTATCGTCCGAGCCTCTAACTTGCAGCGTAGGATAGGATGGTAATTGGACCTTGCCTCTCAGTGCCCATCAGATTACGCCATGGAAGCCATACAGTGATTATAATTTAAAAGCTAGTTGCAGCGTAAACCTTCGGGAATGAGTCCACCAGCCCTTCCACTCTTTATTTATGTATAGAGTCTCTCTCTTTCACATTGCACAGATACAAATAAACTTCTGGCACTTTGTATTTCCAAAAGCTGAATTCAAAATGCTCCTTACGAAAATTCACTGTTGATATCATATTGCGCTACTCTGTTCCAAAGCAGTGAAGTAATTGAGGTTGGTGTCAGATTGTGGTCTGGGTTTTTTTTTAAGCCTGGCAGATTGAAGGCTGAGTTAAAGAAGTACTTGTGATATGAGACGCTCCGCTGCAGAGTGGCTGCTGTGAGCGTGGGCGTCCAGTAGGGGGCACAGACAGACTGCTGGGACATGAGGATGGGAAGACAACAGTTAGCAGGAGCTGTGTGTTTTATACTGGGTGCTCTCCACACCTCTGAACCTCTGCAGAACTAACCGGCTGTGAAAAGACATTTTTTACAAATGATGGTTTTAGTAAAATGAACGCAAAGGCAGCGAATAACTTTATTTGGTGTGTGTGTGAGGTAGAAATGTTGAGGGCACATCGTGGGACAGTGAAACAATGATGGAGAAAATATAACGCATGTATGTACGATAGCAGAGGTCTGCATACTTAACTGTATTATCATTAAATACTACAATAAAATATTCAAAAGATATTCTTTTATCCCTTTGTTTAACATGAGTACTTGATGTAGACTTCATTTCATTTCATTCAAAGTATAGAGAAATATATGGGTTTTTGTAATGAAACCATATATATATATAAATAAATATAATTTACCCTGTTAAATATTCTAGGTTTACATTTTTGGAACTGGAAGCAGTAATGTTTCTGCTATTTACGAATATCTGCACATAATAAAGTTCAATGTTTTCAGTCAGACACTCTGCCTTATGTTACAGGCACGGAATGAATGTGCAGTTCAGGCTATGTGACGCTGAACTTGAGTATCATAAAACAAAGAAGAATGGACCATTTGCGGTGGTAATTTCAGACCCTATTTAAATACTTTTTTGACGAGGACTATAGTAATTTGATACAATTACTTTAACATGGAGATAATCCGAACTGCCCACTTTTTGTTACACATTTTAGCTTTGAAGAATTCCATTGCATTGTAATTGATCTGTTGGACAGTAAGATTAAAAAATAATATATAAATAAAAATAATCACCTAAATTACATTTTTTGAAAAAGCTGCAGTGTGTAAGGGTCTCAATTTGCAACGAAGCAATGTGTGAAGTTTGGTGTTGTGTAGGAATTGTTTATTTTTCTTTGTACTCGACAGGCTGTGATTGCCTTTTTTCCCTATAATTGCACAAGATTAATGCTGTTTCTTCTTGGCTCCAGTTACAATGAGTTTCACACACTGTAAGGTGTGTGTGTGAAACTCACACACGCTCAGTGCAGGGACCCCGCCTGCGACTCCGATAGCTGCATCGGGTGCTAGCCACCAAGATCCATGCATCTGCTATAAAAAAGCTAAAGAAACTCAATTGCAATTTTATTGTCCCGTTTGATAGATTTCCTGCCAGCTTTGTAGCACCGAAGCTGTTTGTCACTGCTGCTCTCTCCTCCCACTGCTTCAGGGCTGTGTCTGCACGCATGAGTGTGTGTGTGTGTGTGTGTTTGTGTGTTTGTGCGCATGTGTGTGTGCGAATGTGAGTTACTAGGCACATTTTCTCTTTGCCCTCCTTTTCTCTTGGGCTCTAGAAAGCCCTTCTTTCCAAACCCATTGAATATTCATCGGAACCGTGTGAGAACAATCAGAGAAACAAGGCCTCATAAATACAACCAGCCCACTGGGAGCCTCTTGATAAGTGCATATATGCATTCACAAATACATATGTGCACACTTCTCATCTATACAGACTTTAGGAATTATTTTCCCTTGTCTCAACTGTGGTAAGGTTGTCAGTTTGGCATGTGTAGACGGTACATTCATCAAGATGTTTTTATCATGTTGCTGGTAAGGGTGTTCTCTCTAGCATTTTGAATTGCATACCCAAATAACATATTCACATTTTATGCAGATGGAAAAAAATCAAAGTTTACCAGTATAATATTTACATTTATAAGTTCCCTGTTTTGCCGAAATTCAGGCCTTTTGCTCATTTTAAATTAGCTCCATATTCACTGTAACTGGACTTGTACATTTGAAGTTTTTACTTATTTTTCTATTGAGTTGCGTTGTAGCGATCAGAATGACCATATGTGTTATATTTACTTCGGATCTCTTGATTTTTTGTCCTATCAATCTTTAGGTGTAACATTTTTTTTATTTTCGCCTTGCTGGGAACTTAAGAAAAGCTCAATCTGTGCCATGCGGCCCAAATGTTTTGTCTCTGTCCAACCTCAAAGTGCAGCTTTTTGTTCCATGAATTGAGATGGTTTAATGATCAGCCTGAGACTTTATATTTAATCTTATTGTTTCATATCAAAGCAGAGATTAGCAAGAGGCACTGTCAACCTGGTTATGATGTGTGCATAGGGTTACTGTGTGTGTGAGTGTGAATCCCTCTCTGTCAGTCATTAGAAAGTGAGTGTACCTGCATAAGCGTCTCTCTGAACAGACAGATGTTCTTGCAGGTGGGCACGCTGACACAACAGCCCCCCCACTCTGCACACACACTCACCCAAGGTGCCCCTCGTCCATCTCTGCACACAAATCAGTTTGAGAACAAGGAGATCTCCAAAAGAGAGAGATTGGGTGTGGAGGTCCCTCTGTCCTTCAGACTCTGCTGGCGGCCTTCATTATGCCTGTCAGACGCTTTACACCAGAGATGAATATGAGCAGAGATGAGCCAACAACTATTTAACAAAATGTAAATAACTTGAGCTGGTATTTTTCAGTAAGTTGAGGATATTTGGAAGAATTTAGTTTTATCTTATGACCCTTTTACCATTTCCACTTAGAATAGTTTGTCCAGGTGTTTTTCTGTTGCCCTTTAGGGTTATTGAGACATTCTTGTGGTTAATGACAAAGACTTTCAGATACATTGACACGTTGACAAAGGAGCAGAAAGTGGGAAGATAGAAAAGCCAATGCTAGATAATAGCCATGCATCAAGTGTTGTCTATACTTTCTAAAACAAAGACAATCACCAGTATGTATATCGATGTCTTTTATTCTATAATCCTACAATAAATATTGAAATCTCAATGGGAAATACATAATAAAGAGGTGGTTAAAACCCCATGAATTTGACTGGGGAGATTCATTTAGTTTAGTGTATGTTATCCTAAAGGACCTTTTGTGTCAGCTTGTCTTCCCAAGCTTGTGATAGGAATCACAGATAAAGACTGTATACACATGACTGGATCATATGGGAGGACAAAACTGAGAAGAAAATTTTTTTACAACGATATTGTGAACAAGAGCAAAAACCACCCAGCTAGCACCGCAGTAGCAGACGACATTGATTTTGCTGGAGGAATTGCATTTAGCTAATCGGATTAGAGCCATGCTGCCCTCCCCATTTCCCCTTTGTTTTGTGGTCGCTCTCTATCTATTTATCTAAATGGGGACATGTCTACTGCGGGGGTCTTCCAAGATCACTGCTCTGCCCCCCCCCCCCCCCCCCCCCCCGACCCTCACCAAACACGTTGTGGTGTGGGGACTCTGCTTATTCCTGATCAGCTCTACAGCAGTCATGAGGAGAATGGAAATACTGAATTCCGTATAGACTGTTGTGTAAATGTGATCGCAAATATTGTTTTACTGCAGAAAAAAAGGACATTTGACTTATTTCTGTTTGTGAGATTGCGGGGAAACGTATGGCAATGCCTTGTTGCTAATCATAGTGTGTTCCCTTCCTTCTGCGCCCAGTTAATACCATGTTACCTGTCACATTAGAAAAGCCCACCATGTTTTTGTACATTACCATAACATTTTCCCATACCCCACTGAGGCCAGGCCGAGTCATGGAGTAGAATGAAATTAGATTAGATCGGCGCTGATGTCTTAGCCACCCAAGGCAGTTTCTATATATTGTAGCGAGGCTAACCGCTCTTTAAAAAACCCCACAGACGTATACTACCTCTGTCTAATGGTAACTGGATCTGCTACAGAGCCCCATTTAAGGCCAACATGCATCATCTTAATGCACAGACTGCATCCTCAATCTATGACGTTATGTTCTGCACTGTTCTCACACAAAAACACTCCATAGCAGCGTGCTCTGAATGCAGCCTTTTAATTGCTAAAATGCTAAATGTCAAATTAAGCTCAAACTAATGGGGTAGACGGTCTTGCTGTGTGATCACTTGGAAAGAGACGGACTACTGGCGTATTTAGAGCAGGCTGTGCACTCTGAAAACAGCTATGGATTACCAATCACTGCTACCCACTACAGAAGATTAATGAGCACCCGTGTAGCAGGCTAATTTAGAACAATAACGCCTAATTAATTACAAATAATCAGCTCCTTTCTCTCCCTTTCCTTTCTTCCACTCTCAATGACTCACTTTCTTCCTCTTCCTGCTTTGTAATTTCTTATTTTTTTCTTCCTTTTGATCTCTGCTTTCTCATTTTCTTTGTTTCTTTCGCTCTCTCTTTCCCTCTCTGCTCCTGTCCAAATAGCCTCAGGTGAAAAAGCAGCAAAGTGGGTCTAGTTGCACCCCCCCCTTCCACCCCCAACCCATCTTTGACTTTCTGTCCTCGAAGGGCCCAGTGATTAATGCAGGGTCTTAAATTAGGCGTGGGAGGATTTGCCGATGCTGGACACGCACTCAGAACAGCTAGCAGTCACCGACTAATAGTATCTACTGCTAATCTATGACTGCTTACATGGATGGGCTCTTCCTCAAATGCCACTGCAGACCATTGTCGTTATAGACTAGCAGTCTCGTCTACCCATATCAGATGTAAGAAGACTGATAGAGGTTAATAGGCTGTGAGCAGCTGCGCATAAGAGAGAGGAAAAGTTTTGAATATTGAATAGTTAGCCTTAAATGGTCCGAGTGGTTAGTTGCTATAATAAACTCACAACTAAAGAGCATTTTGAGAATATCTTCCACTATTTGATGTTTCCAGATGAAACGGGATAATTGGGTATTATATCACACGTGGACATAAAATGGGGTAACGGCTGAAATTGCAAACCAAAATATATAATTTTAAAGAGTGAGGGCTTATTTGATGAGATGACTTGGGAAAATGTTTAATGGCATTTTTGGGATATTTATTTGTATGTAAAACCACTGGTACATCTTAATGACTTCTTGAAGTACATTGCTCATAAGGTTTGCATGATGCCTTTTCTCCATTCTCAAACAAAAATACAGTCTTTTATATATTTGACAGAAGCTTGGGTCTGTTTTGTGTATTTGTGGCTGTTTCCTATAAGTAGCAACAAATCATAGTTCATAGAAATGTGCTGAAATCTGAATAAACTGTAACTTTAATAAGAGGTTTGATTGAATGGGAATCATAAGCGAGTAGATTGTCATTCAGGTTTTAAATAAGCTGCCTGGTTAGCCACATTTATTCCTTTGTTAACATCTGTCAAAGTTTCAAATACTGTTAGTACAGGAAGTTCAAGTTGAACCAGGAAGTCAAAGTCGTGTTTACTGTGCACTCACTTTCAGTTTGTTACCTACATAAAGTAGTATAAATATTCTGGAAAGCTGTCTTGTGTACACATTCTTAGATTGTTCTAATACTTGGAGAATTGTGTTGGGTCTCAGAAATTACTTAAATTATGGCAAATTATGCCAAGTTGTGTTTCTTACATTTGAACATGTACTCTTTTGTGTTTGCAGGTAACCTTCGAGCAGCACAAAGAGAATCTGTCCCATATGTTCCGTCAGTACCAGCATCAGGGGTCCACAGGCTCTATGAGCTCCATCAGAACCATCTCTGGTGTCAGCCAAAGATCGGACACCATGGAGTGTGTTAACGGGACCCCTGCAGAGGAGACAGCCCCTTCCACAGTCATTGAGCTCACAGTGGACAAGCTGTCCCACAAGTCCCCGGACACAGCATCTGGCTCCACCATTACCTCCAGCCCACCAGAGGCTGCTGAGGGAAGTGGACACGCATCCATCACCGTGTCCAATATCCTGACCAGGGATGACGAAGAAGAAGAGCAGCAGCAGCAGCAGCAGCAGGCTGTTGAGGAGTCTTCCAAGGATGGCTCAGGTGATGAGGGAAAAGAGACTGTGACACAAACGGACGATAAAGAGGAACAGAGTGAAGAGACCAATAAAGAGGAACGGGAGACTTCCACTGGCAAGAGCTCCGATGATCTGCAACCATCAGTTAGCGACGCAGAGGACACCAATGCAACAGAAGGGGTTAGAGACTCTGCTACACCATCTGCAAGTGATGATGCACAAACATCTGCAACAGATGATGACAAGTCTGAACCTATCAAAGGGGAATCACCAACCTCCACACCAGAAGAGTCTTTGACTGAAGCAGACACAGAGGTGCCCGAGGTTTCAGAACAAGACGATAATAAGGACCAAACGTCCCCCGAGTCAGCGGCCTGTCTGGAGAACATTGTGCAGGGAGGAGACTCCGCCTTCAACGAGGATGTGGCTGACATGTCCTCTGTCAGCGACCAGACCCCCCCAAGTGATGCTGATGATAGCCAAGAAGAGTCCTCTTATGCCTCTGCAGTTGCCGGAGAGGAAGGGGAGGTAAGACAAAAGGAGGATGCTAAAGATGACGATGATGAAGGCAAGGAAGATAATCAGGAAGGTCATGAGATAAAGACGGACGAAGATAGTGATGAGAAGCAAGCGGTTGACTTACAAGAAAAAGTGGAAGAAGAGAGTGAAGCTGAAGAGAAACAGGTGTCTGGATTGGAGAGTGAGACTTCTCTAACTGAAACACCTGAACAGAGTGAGACAGAAGCACCCAAAGATGACCAGTCTTCCTCCATAACTGTTCCCGCTACACCAGACCAGCAGCCTTCTGATGCCACACCAACCTCTACAGCCCAGGAGGTCGCAGCAGCCTCAGACCCCCCCTCACCTAGCCAGCCTTTAGATACCACCAGCACCACTGAAGAAGAAACCCTGCCCGCTCCCACAGATAGCACCTCTGACGCACAGAAGACTGCAGCGCCTGTCAGCAAGACCAAAGAGATCAAAATCGCCCGACTGGACGTGTCCAATGTGGCCTTAGACACGGAGAGACTTGAATTAAAGGAGACCTCAACTACAGTACGCATCCCTTTTCTTTAACTGATTTCTCTACTTTAAATATTTATTTTTTAACATGATAATAAGTAGAACTGATCACTTTCAGTATTTCACACATAAAAATGACCGTTTGCATATTAATTACCCTTCCCGTGGTACCTTGAATTCTTAGAAAAATGTTTCTCTTGCAAGTATTGAAATACAAGGAAACTGCCTTAACAGTAAAACAATATCCAATATTCATTAAGAAATCATCTCAATACTTGCCAAACACTTGCATTATCACTTTACTGTGATCGTCGCTCAAAGTGTTTTATTTAATCTTTATGAATAGGCATGTGTTGACTGAGATGCTTCCATTTATATGAATTCATTAATACCTTTTTTCCTTAACATCTGTTGAAAGTGGAGGCATGCAAGAAAAAAAGCGTTTCTTACAAATTCAAAGTGACACGGGATGGGTAACTGAAATACAAATGGTCCTCTTGTGAACAAAGAATTGAGTTAAAGCTAATTGTGTATAACTGGTTTCTCTCCGTAGGAAACAAGCCAGGGCCAGCCTCCAACAGCAGCAGCGGCAGCGGGGGGGTCTGCAGGTCAGCAGAGAGAGGGCAGCAATCCGGCCCCTCGCTCCACCATGTTTCGTATCCCAGAGTTCCGCTGGTCCCACATGCACCAACGCCTCCTGGCTGACCTGCTCTTCTCTATTGAGACAGATGTGCAGATGTGGAGGAGGTACGGGAACAATCTGCTGACTCTGACATTGCTCATGCTTTAGCTAACAATTATTTTGTTAATTGACTAATGGAAAATAGATTTATTGGCTTTTTGTGCCTCTGAGGAGCGGACACCAGATTTCATTTAAGCCTTCTACTAATTGAGAGCTGCCTGGAAGAGTCCTTCACCAATCTTTGTTTTGTTAGTGGGAAGATTTTACTTCTTACTTTTGCTTGTTAAATCCTCGTGTAATACTTAGTAGACTTATTCTACTCAAAGTAAAGTGTTTCTCTTTGCTAAGGCAATGACTTAAAGGCAAAAATAGATATTGGCCTGAAATATTTCTCATAGCCACAACCAAAGCAGTACTTTACATTACATGAAACTAAAAAACCAGGGTCTCTAGGGATACTTTGAAATTAATTCCCCATTGAGGACACTTTAGAACAAAGCACAGGAAATGTTTTTGTAAAAATAGAAAGTTATTTGAATCCTTCAATGTGAGCATTAAACGGCAACAAAGAACATCTGTAAGCAAAACACTGTTATTTTCATACCAATATTATTATATCATCAAAAACAGGCTCTCACTTAACATTTGTCAAAAATACAATACTCCTACTTGTCTTATTCGGAATATGTGTTTCGTTAACAAAGCAATATTTGATCTTCTCCCTCACAGCCACTCCACAAAGACGATTCTGGACTTTGTGAACAGCAGCGAGAACGTGGTGTTTGTCCACAACAGTATTCACATCATCTCCCAGGTGGTGGACAACCTCATCATGGCCTGTGGAGGCATTCTACCTCTGCTCTCTGCTGCCACCTCCTCCTCTGTGAGTCTCCTCGTGTGTGTGTGTGTGTGTGTGTGTGTGTGTGTGTGTGTGTGTGTGTGTGTGTGTGTGTGTGTGTGTGTGTGTGTGTGTGTGTGTGTGTGTGTGTGTGTGTGTGTGTGTGTGTGTGTGTGTGTGTGTGTGTGTGTGTGTGTGTGTGTGTGTGTGTGTGTGTGTGTGTGTGTGTGTGTGTGTGTGTGTGTGTGTGTGTGTGTGTGTGTGTGTGTGTGTGTGTGTGTGTGTGTGTGTGTGTGTGTGTGTGTGTGTGTGTGTGTGTGTGTGTGTGTGTGTACGTACTGTGGCTGTGTAGTCGATGACTCCCATCACAGGAAGTTATCCATCCACATTGACCTTTTCCAATCACATTAGACCACAGTTAGCGGCCTCCTAACATTGTTACTTTGTTTGTGTGTTGTCTGATGTCGCTGACTGCTGCTCTCTTACACCATTCTTTGCCTCCGTCAATGACTTTACGGCCCTGTTAAGGAAACAGGTTGAAGTTCAATTCCTTTTTAATTCAATTGGGTTTGGTTTCTAACCAGATTTAAAACTCGATGTAATACATTTCAATGTATTTTAATGTTGTATCAAGAGGTGTTATCAGTATAGCTGTCTCACATATTCCACACATTTATTACAGTTTAAAAGCATTTCTTATTATTAAATCTTTGGTACATTTCTACATTGAATGTCTTACTTTGTACCCATATCCTCTCTATGGCAACTCATTGTAAAGTTGCGTATAACTATAAAATGTTGTGAATTAAACGTCACTTGACAAAACATTAAAAAACAAACAGTTTCCTTACAGGTCAAGAATGAACCTTTACGGCCCGTCCACACGGCGGCGTGCGTTGAAGCTTCAACGCTTCTGCCCATTCACTTTGAATGGGGTGATGTCACGCTTTGCCGAACTGCATTGTGGGAGCATTGCTTCGCTTTGCTCGCATTGCTCGCTTCAAAAGTTGAGCAATGTTCAACTTTTGAAGCTTCGGCCGAAGCGTCAGCCAATCAAATCACATGCCAGTACAAGCTCTAGCCAATCAAACCGAGTGCTTGTGTGTCTGGGGCGGGAGATTCATGTGATTGGTTGTTGGTCGAGTTTCAGACACACCCGCCGGCAAGCTTCAACGCTCGCCGCCGTGTGGACGCTGCGTTACTCTTACTTTTGTTCTTTGATCCATTTGTTTTCTAACTAGTAAAGTCACATCGACTTCCTTTTACTTAAATGTAGTTTTTTTTCTATTCATGTTTTTATCATCCATACAAAGTACAGTTATTCTAATAGTTACTGTATAGTTAATAGCTTCAATGAGCCTGTACTCAATATAAACTGAATTGAAGGATGTATGTATGACTTATCAATGACTAGCTCTGTGATCTTTACTCCGTCCACCACCAGCATGAACTGGAGAATATCGAACCCTCCCAGGGTCTGACGGTGGAGGCTTCAGTCACCTTCCTCCACCGCCTCATCAACCTCGTGGATGTTCTCATCTTTGCCAGCTCCCTTACCTTCACAGAGATAGAAGCTGAGAAAAACATGTCGTCGGGAGGCATCCTGCGACAGTGCCTTCGCCTCGGTATGCACACAGTTTGGTTCCTTTGACCTCATAACTTGGTCAATCTCATTTATTTTACAAGACTCATTATTGATATTGTTCAACAAAATTTGGGGTTAAACCTTGTTGTTTGTCTACTTAACCTTCCATTTGATGACATTTAGCTCTCATCTCATCTGCATCCCCTTTCTGAATTTCCATCTTTTATCTCCTCCTCTAACCGAGCCCTCTGTCCTCCCCTGTTCATCGATCCCTCTCATATCAGCCGGCAGTAGCCTCTTGTGTTAGCCTCAGTCATGACTCCCTGTAGCCTTCTTCACCCTCCCTCCTGTGTTCTCTCTTTCCTGCCGTCTTCCTCTCCATCTCCGGCGACTGCTCATTCCCTCGCCTCTTTCACTCCGCTCATATCAGCACTCTCTTATCTTGTTATTATAACCCCACTGCATGGCAACACTCTAAAATGGCTGCTATCATGATATAGTGAGTTCTACATAATGGCCTTGGCTGCACTGCACTGCAGCGTAGCCCGAGGCCTTTCCCTGCCTTCTGTTCCAGGCTATTACAGTTTCACGCTCCAGCTGAATAAAATATATAGAAATGCGTACATTATTCATTTGATGTGGTGCACCTTTTCAGCAAACACAGATCAACACACACACACACACACACACACACACACACACACACATATACACATATACACATATACACATATACACATATACACATATACACACATACACACACACACACACTGTGGAAGTACTTTCTACACTGATTTAAATCATTTTTCTATGCTTTGTTCCATGGTGCATATCCAGGTATCAGTTATTCCATTTCATAGCATGGGTTACAAACAAAAAAGCTTTTTAAAATGCAAACTTGTTAAAAGAGTTCTGTTCTCAGATTTGATCCAACTATCATTACCGCTGTTTAGCTGAAAAGTGATGCCAGCGCACTACAGGTCTAGTTTTAGAAAGCACCCGTTATGAAATGAATATTTGATGAGGTATGTACTCCCCATTGCTGGCACCTAATCTGATTTTGTAAGACTGTAACAAGGTTTTAGCATCTCCACCCCTCCCTCCGCCTCCCTCTTTTTTTTAATAAATGGTCGTATGAAAGAGTAGTCCTAATGGAAAAAGCGAGCCCATTTCCAGACGGAATAATTCCCTCCTTCGTAATCTAAATGGCTCAGAGTTAACATTTGTCAGTTGTCAAGTACAGAAAGGTGGGGGAGGGGAGGGGCTGCAACAGACGAGCGGCACACGAGATTACAAATGGTAAGTGTGCCAGTTTTGAACCCACACAAAGTTATTGGACCACAACATTTTTCTTCTTAGCCAGAAAGGACGTATCTTGCTGCCTACTCAGCATGTGCACACCCGAGCAGTGTGTCATTTGTTATGGGAGCGGCACGCAGTGGGTGTGATTCAAGAGCACACTCTTGCACTGTGACCTTGGGAGGAGAGGTGGAGCAGGGAAGAGTGAACGATGCTGCCAGAGTTGGCCAGAGCACTGACCTTGTCATGGCCCCACTTTTTCTCTTTTGTTTTTGTCTCTCTCAGCTGCTCCCGTTGTGGTTTTCTCAGTTTATAAGCAGAGATTTCCCCTTTTTGCTTTAGGTTCAATGTCCTCAAAGGGACTTCAGCATAATCCTTCTCTAAAATGACTTTATAAATATGATGTCGTATAATATTTCTTTCTCCATCCCTCCTTAGTTTGTGCTATGGCTGTTAGAAACTGTCTGGAGTGTCAGCAAGCCCAATGCAGTCACGGTGCAGAAGCTTCCGCACGCAGCTACACAGCCATGCCCAACATGGGAGCAGCCATGTCTGCAGCTGCACAGGCAAGTACCCCATAACATCACCTACACCTTTATTCAAATATACCTTTCCTACATGTTGTCTGTTGTTGTCTATTTGTACTATGTTTTCCTTTGAAAAGCCAAAAACAAATCTCTCGTTTTCTGGATTGTTTCTACACTTGAAAATCTGCTCTTTTCCTGTCCTGGGTAGTAAAGCAGAGGAGGCTTTGCCCTTTGTCCTCCTCACCAACAACAACACAGCTCTATTGCATTAGCTCATATCTTATTCTATTACCGCTCTGGTTGCTATTTTTGACGCTAGACGAGGCCTTTTTTCATTGCCCCTTTGATTTGATACAGTGACTTCCAGTAAAGTCGTGTTATTCTTCCCTGAACCGGGTGTTAAAGCTCATTTATAATGCAGTGGCTCCCTAGAAAAGCCATTATGTTAAGGACATGATCCCAGGAGGGATAGCTTCTCAAAGCTGTGAAACCTTACCCAACTCCTCCAAGTGCACATGGATTAATAAACATACTGATTGGTGTAAGAGTGCATGTTCCGCCTTCACCTCATATGGAGAGAATAACACATTTGGTTTCATGCAACCATGCAGAGTCCTGTTGATGCAGTGACAGGTGGGATGTCTCCAGTCAGAGACCTGGACCGGCTTCTGCAGGACATGGACATAAACCGCCTCAGGGCTGTCGTCTTCAGAGATATCGTGAGTCGTACAGAACCAACATTCCTGCAACATGATAAACAGACACACTGTGCATAACACTCACAGAATGACAGTCATGCTTTCTGAAGAAGACGCAGTTCCTTTAGTGTATTTTGTTTGTTTCAGGAGGACAGTAAGCAGGCTCAGTTTTTGGCGCTTGCTGTTGTCTACTTCATCTCAGTCCTGATGGTGTCTAAATACCGCGACATCCTGGAGCCCCAGAATGACAAGAAACGCCCTCAGAGGTCCCAGTCTTCCAGGAGCACAGGTAAACTGCTGCAGATGACCCCCAAATATAGAGCTGTGTGGAAAGCACTTACGTCCCCTTTTTATGTTTTCGTTTGAATAATTTTGAGAGGCGGTTGAATCTATATTATATTGCTCTACATATATTTGACTATAGAATGAGAAAAAAGGCAGAGGATTACGTTAGGGTAAAAAAAACAAACATTTTATTTGAATGAATGTGTTGATTTTAATCTTGTAACCATTTATACTCAGTTTCAAGGTGGAATAAGCCTCTGTTGTGAGTAATCTTTGTTATTTCTGAATTCCTCACATTTCTCTATAATGTATTGCTTGTGTCCTTTTTAGATAGCGGTGCCATTTCTGGTGGACTCGAAGTGGAGAACGGAGTCTCTCTCCGACGTTATGACTCTGGCATCGGTGATGACCACACCTCGGCGGCCGCGAGCGAGGCGGACCTGTCATCCTCTGGCGTGACTCACGGCCCAGACGCCATCTCAGAAGCCCTGTCTACGCTGTCCTCTGAGGTCAGACCTTCTCTGCCCACTGATTCAAAGGGCAAGAATGTGAAGGACATTCTGCGCAGCCTAGTGAGCGCTCCAGCTGATGACATGATGGTGGACCCAAGTCTGCTGCCACCAACGTTCCTAGGAAGTGTGGGCGATGCGGCCAGAGACTCATATCGACAGTTCCGCTCATTTGATAGGTGAGAGCTAATGGCTCAACATACATATATCCTACTATACTCTTTAAAGAACAAACATATTTTTCTGCTCTGCACCAAGGGGATTTGGGGAAAAAATAAGGGCCAAAATTCCCCTGCTGCAGACCTGACAGCTTCATTAGTTTCTCAAGAGCCCATATGGTGCAAATACGCTTGTGATTCTCAAGCTTCACAGTTGACAGTTTCGTACCGTTTATCCCAACATAACTGCGGGGGACTTTTGAAAGTCAGCTCTTGAAGACACCTCAGCTTGGTATCCTCAGAGGAAGTGGATCTTGAAAAAACATTCTGTAACAGAAACCCCTTTTGAACCGGGGGGGATCTCAGTCTCCGACTTTTCCCCCCTTTTTTCCCATTGTTGTCTCTGATAGCTGTCGATGTAGGCTCTCATCCCAGGCAAAGCGCCTTACAAAGATCCTGTCTTAAGGAGAACAGGAGTCATGTCAGGGATCAAGAGACGGAGATACCAAACTGGCAGGAAGCTGTTTCTTTTCTCAGTGTCACTGATATTTAACAACTTTCTTTTTCATCCCTCCTGCTACTCCACTCTCCCTGTCTAACATTTGAGGCGGCATCCCCCTTTTCTGGCATGAAAGCTGTATCATTTGCATTAACCCTGGAGCTGCTGGGGTAAACAGTCAGGAGCTTCAAAAGCAGAGCCTGGTACTGAAGCCACAGACGGGCTCAGGTGAGAGAGGATGGTCTCCGGTCTGGTTTGAATTTAGAGCGTTGATACTAAAGCAGACATTCACAGACGGCAGAGAGGGGAGAGGCTGGTAGAGACGAGAAGAGAGATGGGAGAAGGGGGAGAAAGAAGTCTCCATGGGGGGGATGTCAAGTTTCTCATGTACTGAAAAAAAGAAATTCTCCGTTTCTGTCTCTCTCTCTCTCGCTCTCACAAACACACTTAGTCAGTCTGCCTACCCCCAACTGTGGGAATTCCACGGCATCTCTGTGATCGCGTGTCTTTATCTGAGGAATGCTTTGTCAGGTCTCAGGGCGCTCCTCATATCAGGGGGATTAGACTGGCTCCTGTCCGCTGAGCACACTCGGTAGGAAGAGAGGACGTCAGGAGAGCTGGAGAGCATAGACTAACAGCTCCTCGCTGCCTGTGGGAGCCTCTTCATGCCCAGACCAGGCACCGACAGCAAGCTCTACCCTGACTCTCCTTTAAGAGGAAAAAAGGCTCTCTCACATCACTCCCCCCCCCCCCCCCTATTGTGGGGATGTATCTAATCATTTATTTATCATCAGTTTAATCACAAGGCTGGCAATATTCTATATTTTTAGTTTCTGTCAACAAATCCCATCCTAAATCCAGCAATATACAAATTATTTGTCTTCCAATATCCAACTTGCGACCCTGTCTGGCTCTAAATCTTTGTGAAATTGCTACAAGGTTTTTTTTGTGAAATAAAATGATATAAAACAGACAAAATATCCTATATTCACAATTGTCAAAAAGCATATATTGGCAATACTGCTTCGTCAAGGAACTAAAAATAATTAAGCAAGTATCAAAATTGATGTCCATTTTCTGGCGACTAAATGATAAATTGCCTTGACTGGTTCACCACTTAACATTTGCACCAGCTAATACAAACATTCAAGCCTTTCTTTTCACCTAGATTCACAATGTTTCACTATTCTCAGACCTCACTGCAGAAGTGGGGGAGGTTGTTGACGTTTCTTGGTAAAAACGACCCTTCTATAAAAAAACATTCACTTGCTTTATGCCTATATTTATTTTCGTTATCTCCCGAGGTTACCACTCTTTATCAGCCAGCTGTCTCTAGTCCTTACCGATTCTACCTACTACGCATGCAGACATGCTCTGTGTTTATTATCTTGTTGTAATGAATCTATCACTGCTCAGCATCTTCCACAAACCAGTAAGTCTCCCAGTGACACCAGTAAAAGCTAAGGCTGATATTCTGACCTGACACCTCCCACCAGAGCACGGCAACTTCCCACTTACCCACAGGGCTGGATTTACGAGAGCAATGTATGAAAGGAGCTGGGATCCCCCAGATAAAAACACGGGGGTTGGTCAGGGGGTGAAGTATCCCTTCTGATTTATTTACTAGTGGAGACCTGCTGGATTTCGCCCATCCATTTCTCAGCCATGCCCCTGTTATGACAGCCAGTCTGCAAATATTTGCTGACACTAACCAGAACTAAACAGTGTCATTGTACAAGCCGATGATTTAGACGGCATGGTTCTGCAGAATATGAGAGTGTTAGACACCGGGATATACATGGTGCGGTTGTTTGCATTCCTGGCAGCAGACTCTGCATGCATGTGAGAGTTGATGTACAGATGAGTTGTGTTGATGCTGAAGTGTTGTTAATGTACGGCTTAGGAAGAGCAGAAGCATGTCCGACACAAACACAACTGAAAGAGCGCTCCCTTTTCAATTTCTCCATCGCACTCCAAACTGAGATTCTGCAAATTCCTCCAACACAAGTTCACCTTTTTTATACCTGAAACAAGCTTACTAGTGATCCTGCATCAAACTAATGAGATATGTTGTAACCTGCTGTTATGTTCTGAAAAATCAGGTGCTCATATGTGTCAACATTAAGACTGTCACGAGCCAACAAAGAACTTTAAAGGTTGTTTAGAGTTACTTTATTACTTAATATAAAAGCCTGATCAATATTATATCTGTGGCTGATGCTGTTTAGTATATCAATATTTAAGAATAATGGCAGAAAGATTCAGTAAACTGTCAATCCTCCAATTTGTATTTATGCAAACAGTTATACATATATATATATATGTTTTTTGCCATAATCCCTTAAAAACAATCATTACAAATATTTAACAAAGACAGTCACTCAAGCAGAAAACTCACTTAAATCTCACTGGTAACAAATAAAACCACATGCTCAAAGCATGTTTAGAATACAACCTATAAAACAATGATGTTACTGTTTATTCCCCTGCAAACAACAGGCCAGCACTTTCACATAAGTACATATCATATATCCACATATTGCATTAGGTATTTAATTAACTAAACTAAACTTTTTGCCAAACATTTAAAAAATGCATTTTCTGCCTTGGCCTCATGTTTTCAGCTGCTCCTCAATATCCAATGCATTTCAGATGCAAACACAAATATCCTTTTGCTCACACACTCACAAACACACATGAAAACCATTGAGATTCTGTTGTTCTCATACTTTGTAGGCCCCTTAGGTCTCAGTTGCTCAACCCATTAATCACTGATGTCATAAAGTTAATGCCCCTCCCACAGCAGCCACCATCACCCAATCACATCTTGAGATGGACTTATTCACAGATGATTTGAAAGAGGTCTCATAGCGTATGTCAAAGAATAATATTTTGAACATTAAAAAGCACAGGGTTGAACGGAACGAGAGTGAAAGCAGAGATCAAAGCTCTGGTGGTGCGTACCCTCCCCTCCCCTTCCTCCTCTTCCTCCCATGAGTTTTCTCTGTTAACACTCTACAGAATGGTATTTTTCTCACACTTGTTTTACCTGAAATAGCAGAGATTACTGGAATCACATTGTTTACTGCACTTATCCATTGTAGGTTAAAGCCTTTAAATAATTCAGCCTTAGCCCAGAATACATACGCACACAGACACACTGCCCTCGGCTCCTGTTTGTGGGTTGAGTGGGGCCGCTGACGGCTGATTAATCGACTGGGGCGGCCCACTCATGATAAGTGTGGCTAATGACCTGCTGAATAATTCACCGGGCCTGTGCTGGGGAACAGATGGAAGGCCAAACACATATACAGACATGTTTACAGACGGACACACTTGTGCATCCATGCATTTATTTTTACACTCATATGCATATATTCAAATATGTTGGAAACATTCACACACACACTCCTAGCCTGCACACACCAGGGGGGCCTGTGTCTCTCTCCCTTGCTGTTGACACCCAGGGTGCTTCACGTCAGCACCGCCCTTGTTCCCTGATACCACCCTCCAGCCCACTCACTATCAGAGCAGGAGAAAGTTAGCAGCAGACACTTTTATCTTCACCCTTCCTGGCTATCAATAGTGATTTCACTGTGTCTTATCACTTATTCAGTTTATATGCATCACTCTGAGCTTTTCCAGTATATATTTGTATTTAAAACAGTCAAAAGCTGTCAAGCCATTGGCCTCCGAATGCAGCTCTATTATGCCAAAACCATCGATCCGTCAAAGTAAAGGTTGGCTTTGAGGTTTTAACATTCACAGCAACTTTTAATAGATCTGATCACCTGCTTTAAATCAGCTAAGAACAGCCTTTGATAGTGCAGCCAGGTATCTGTCTGCACCACAGGGAGCCAACCTCAGCTATCCTTTTTTGTGTGTCCATGAAAATCTGCAAACACATTGACTCCTGGAGGAAAGTATGTTTTGTCCAAATTCTGTTTTCTTTCTATATTTAAATTGTGTGGATTTGATGTATGCTTGCAAAGCTTGGTGCTCCTGCATTGGTTTGTGTTTCTGAGAGGGAACAGTAGCCAGTGATTAGACCCGGCCTCCCCTGTGTCAGCACTGATAAGCGGGGCCAGGCTCTCTTTGATATGGCCAGTGGTCTGTCAGAGCCCTGCTCTAAACTGACAGCTTATCTGCATGCTGCTCTCCTCCCATCTGCTGTTAGCAGGAGCGGAATTGAACTCCACTCAGTCGTACCACATCACTACGAGAAACACTTCCTGTTAGCTGGCCAGAGCGACATCTGAAGAAGCAGCATTATCACTGAATAGATAACTGTGTTTGCACATTTAGCCTAGCTGTCAATGATGGGACATTTGGGCCCAACAGGAAAAAGTTGTTTTGGTAATTTAAGTAAGAGTGAGCCAATACAAGAGGATATGTCTGTAGAATTAAGTCCTGTCAACATTTGAATCAAATATTTGACCGATTTATTTTTCTTATTCATTCATCAGATATATGTTTGATCTATTCTAGAAATTGAAATCAAGAAACCTGGCAAAGTTTGTTTTGTAGTATTTTCAGCATTTAGATTTTATGAATGCTTGATCTACGATAGGATTAAACACTGATGCCTAGAAGTTTTACATATTTTGTAGAGTAGAGTCACAATGAGTAGGGTTTATTGGATGCAGTTAGTAAACACAGCATTCAGACTTGGCCACCTTTGCGCCTCAGCCAGGGTAGCGGGGCTCGCCAGCGTGTGAAAGCCAACCCCAGATTCACTTCTCTCTTGGGAGGAGCTTGTCCTCGCTATATTTGCATTTTGCTGCTTGGATGTGGACGGATACATTTAACCATTTGAAAATACTTTGTTCAAGAAAAGTAGCCCTGTAATTACTCTTCAAGATTAATGTATTTTGGACTCATTAGATGTACTGAACATAAAAGTCCAACATGGCTCGCTGTATATTGCAAAGGTTCTGTAAAGGAAAATAAATAAAAAATCTGTCTTGTTCTCTTTATAGGAGTGTTGTCGTTGCACCTAAGAAAACTGGCATGGCACCGTCTGCAGGCGCTTCCACCAACGTCCCATCAGCCACTGCTGCGTCTGCCGGGACACCCATCGACAGCGTCGCCATGGTATCTTCTGGAGACTCCTCCCAGAGCACCTCTGCAGCTAGTGAGCACACACACGCACACGCACACGCGCACACACACACACTCACTCAAATGTTAGCGGGGCAGTGTTTTTTGCGAGGGCAGATAAGTCATAACCTGGAAGACAGCTATGAAAAAGTCAATATTTATTTAGAGATGTTTCTCCTCTGTGTGTCAGGCAGAGTAATATTGCTGCCTTTGTACGATGTAATCCACTTACCAAAAACCTGAGAAGACAGTGCTAAACAACAGAGTTACACACATCCAGTTGAAATGTTCATTGCAGGAATCATCTCTGTTCTATTGAGTATAACAAAAAATTCAAATACATAGATACACTAAAATATAAATGAACAATAGCAAATAGTAAGCACCGGTGTAAATACTGTATAACACATTCCAAAACTACAGGCATTTTTTAAGTGATTTCTGATCCAAGGATGAATTAGGGTGTATGAATATGATAACATATTAAAATCATACCTTTTTTTCTATTACTTTATGAGCATCCTTAGTCTCTTGTATATACTGAATCAGCAGCCACAGTAAATAATGATCGTTTGGCCAGCTGTTTTTTTTGATCACCTTGTAAGAGTGTGTATAAAAGTGAAATGTTTTTTCACTGAGGAGTCTGTGTGTTAAAGAGAAGGGGGGGTGACATGAGAATGTTTTAGGAGAGTGAGCATTCACTGTAAAATCCGGCTGGGGAGTGTGTATGTCTGCATGTGTTTTGTGTGCCTGTGAATAATGATAATTGTTAAAGCTGAATGCACAGGGTGCTTTGTGTCAGTGAGCAGTGTTGAGTAAATACGCTTTGTGAGTGTGTTTTAGTGATGCAGTGGGAGGACTAATGGAGACGTTCATTTACTCCTCTTTGTTTGAAGGAGCTACTTCAGCTCGAGAGGGATACTCTCGCCAAGCCCACATGGCGCTGCTTAACACCTTACACACACAAACACACACACATGCACACACATTCCAGCCCACATTACACTGTCTGTCATTCCTTAAGAGTTATCCCTGCTTGGAGACTGTCCTGGCTGGAAAAACAAGCCCGCTGAACACCAGAGGAATCCCCCTCCTCCATATTCAGCTGGGCATTAGCTTATTTATGAGCCACAGGGAAGTGAATTTACTGCCAGATCAATCAAACATGGACTTTGTACCTCGTGAGCCTCTGTCTCCAGAATGAAGTCGTAAAGCAGCTTTTTAGTTGTGTAATGAAACGGTCACAAAAACAGCCCTGAGGGCTAAATTGGTATGTAATGACTTAATGAGTAAAAAACAATTGGGAAAAATTGACATTTGTTTAATATCTCACATTCCAACACAGGTGTAACATAACAGTATTACTTATTTATAATAAATATATAATATTGTGCATGGACCACGGATAAGCGGGAGAAGATGGATGGATGGATGTGCTCCATATTTGGCTGTCACCATCCAAAATGATCACACTGTTTAAAACATGATTGCCGCTGCCAGTGAAACACCTCTCAGTGCACCATATAGAGGTTTCCATCATAAAAACCTCTGAATTATAAAATGATAAGGAAGACTTATTGTGCTCGGCGTACATCATCCACTATTTAACCATACAATTCTACTTGTACCCCCACTTGCCCTATTTGACCATAAATCCCCTATTCTATACATTTGAATGGAGGCCATTGTATTATTTCATAAGATCCATGTTTCCACACAGGTTTATGGTGCTACCCTGGTCGTATAATGTATTGCGCTCTGTCTGTGTGTGTGGGGTGTGTGTGTGTGTGTGTGTGTGTGTGTGTGTGTGTGTGTGTGTGTGTGTGTGTGTGTGTGTGTGTGTGTGTGTGTGTGTGTGTGTGTGTGTGTGTGTGTGTGTGTGTGTGTGTGTGTGTGTGTGTGTGTGTGTGTGTGTGTGTGTGTGTGTGTGTGATCTTATTCTTGTCCAACATCCAGACTAATAACAGAGTTCTTTGGTTTCTCCCTGCAGCAGGCGGCCAGGTTCCAGCCAGCGCTAGCCTGCCATCTGTCCCCCCACTCTCCCCTGTGACCCAGAACACAGCCCCCAATATGAGGTGATTCATCTTCTTTTCTCTCTCTCCCACACACACACACATGCACACACTCAAGCACATGCACTATCAGCGTTTTATTCACATAAGCATCCGTTATTAATATCACATGCATGTTGCTTTGGCCTAATTCATATGGTTTTATTTTTCACATAAATAAAACAAGATTTAACCGGTTTTATATATTTAAATTTGGTATTTTCAAGATTTATTATGGAGTTGCAGGCTTGTTTAATTTTCCTCATATACTGTTTGTGTGTTTGAATTGCATCTCCAGTATCTCAGAGCGTCTGGAGAATGCCCTGGAGAAGGCAGCTCCTCTGCTGAGAGAGATCTTCGTGGACTTTGCTCCCTTCCTCTCTCGAACTCTGCTGGGTAGCCACGGGCAAGAGCTCCTCATTGAGGGCACAAGTAAGTACGACGTCAAAGAGACTCATTAGAGTTAAAAAAAAAAAAATCCCCGGTTGTTGTTGTCCTCATTTATATGAAACAACATATCTATGCATTTGTTAATCTAATAGTGCGATGAGTGTGCGTTGAGCCAATAGCTGGTATTTGTTCCTAAGGTTTCTAGGGGGCAGGGTCATAGGCCAGGCCACTAATAGCAGTGTTTGGGATGTCTGATGCCACCAAACAAAATGGAAAGTTGATTGATAGCTGCAGGGGGGCCTAAAGGGAACGCAGGGGGAGGTGTGTATATGCATGTATGTTTGTGTCTGTCACATGAAGACCAACTGAAAGACCAAAGGCTACTCTGCCTTCTTCCCGTCTGTGCATGTGACTCTGGACACTCTAGTGGCCCCCTGCCCTCTAAAAGCTTAGCGCTCGCCATTAGGGATCAATGGGACATATGCTGGCCAAGTAAGGCCTGTAATACAAGGCCCAAATATGTATTAGTTTACAGTAACATCATGTCGGCTCATTAGACACATCAATACTTTCTGCTCTCTTGCAGATGGCACAAGGTTAGGTAATGTGTCTGGTTGAGGGTGCGTCATTCATGAATGTGTGTCCACAAGTGCATAGGATGGTCATGAAAAAAAAAAAAAATGTATTGTGATATTTCTATACATTTCTGACTTATTTTCTTAATTTTTTCTCCAGGCCTGATGTGTATGAAGTCCAGCAGCTCGGTGGTGGAGCTCGTCATGCTCTTGTGTTCACAGGCAAGTCTGGCATCTATATCTCCTCTTACCCATTTGATTTATCAGGCTCACCTTGAGTGCAGTAAATCCACAGCCCAGAGTGGAGACAGTGAGCCATCCTACACCTTATCTTTCCCTCCACACTACCTTGTCCACCTTCCCACGTTAACCCCGGAGTAAACTCATCCCTGGCTGCAAATATTGGTTTGAGGGTCAAGGGTGGCCGACCCGTCCACATCACCTCTGACCCGAGCACCGGCCCTTGTGGCCTGGCCAAACTGATGAGGAGGGATAATGTAGATTTGATGGTGCTTTGCATTGATTATCCCTCTCTTCTCTGTTGTATCGTGGGTGTTTTGTTGCCAAGTTTATTTAGCTGCTGCCGGATTCATGAATACTAATTCGGGTATCATAAGCAGGCGTGGGCAGATCAATGATCGGGGATGTCAATAGATCACTTCAGGATGGCTGATTAGCAACCGGAGACACAAAGCTACTGAAACCTGTTTATTTTCTGCGTGTGGACTAAAACATAGCAAACAGTGTGTTATACGGTTTTGTGTAAATTAATCTTATGAAGTCCATTTATTCATTGTATAGTAGTGGATTTTAGTATATCTTTTATATACAAACATTCAATGACAAGGACAACAGATAATAACTCCCCTTGTGCCCTGTTTGTTTGCATCCTCACCACTTAATGCACCTCAAGAAAAACAAGGATATCCAATAATACAAAAACACATCTGATTAATGACGCCTCTCTCACTGCGCTCTGCTTTTTTATCAGCTTTATTTCTCGAAAGAAATAGCACCTGTCACCTGGCTTTTTTTCTCCACTTTCTCCCCCTCGTAACCCCTACTCTGTTTGGTTCCCATTATTCACTTGGCGTCTTCTCTAAAAAGGTAATACAGTCAGATTACACATCTGTTTGGATGTCAAGGGCCGCGCATAGATGTGTGCTAGTGGGACACATGGAGGTAAAGCGAACCCTATAATGTCCAGAGAGGAAGGAATAGCAGGAGTGAAAGCTAGATAGAAAACCAAAGAGAGAAGAATGACAGGCTCTAATGCACCTATTTGTCATATCTGTCAGGGTGTTGTTTAATGCTAATCTAATCAAAGGCGGAATCTTTGTGATCGCTCCGCTGCACAGCTCATGCCTCGCTTCCCCCTTTGGTCCCCAGCCCAAGCTATTTCTTCCTTTTCTCTCAGCTCCAAACTACACTGCCCAATCTTCACCACACACACACACACACACACACACACACACACACACACACACACACACACACACACACACACACACACACACACACACACACACACACACCGTCTGTGAGAGGAACAAGGATTGGCCAGCGCAGTGTTGATTGCTTCAATAAATCATCCAACCAAATTCTCTCACAGCTAATGCAAATGTAATTTTATTGTTGTGTGAGGGGGGGGAGGAAGGTAGAGGCGATATGCGGCTTTCCACCGGGGAAAAGAAGAAAACAGGCACAGACTCTCCTCTGGGCTAAATGACTGCGAATAATTATTTGTGTTTGTTCTCCTTGTGGTGCGGTGAGAGTGAGCCGGTGCCATGATTGATGACATTATTTAGCGAAGTTTGTCGAGCCCTCTGGCACAGGAAGTGCTCAATCCTCTCACAGGAAGTGGCTCTGTGGCCATCTTTTCACTCCTTCCTGCCTTCAAGCCAACCAGTGGAGGGTGTAGATGGAGAGGGTTTTGATTGATTTCTCTCCCCCCCCCCCCCCCCCTTCAACCCCACACCTTCATTGGAGATGCGATACAATCTCTGTGAAATTTTAATTAATTTCCCGAGCTTTGAGATGGAGTGGAGCCCGGGTGAAGGGTCAGGAGGCTGGGGACCGCAGAGCAGTTTTTAATCAGGGATCCTATGAAAGTTGCATTGGCGGCCACATCAGCTTGGCATTGAGGAGGAGATTGTAAACCGCTGTTTGATAGTGCCCTGTTTCTAAACAACTACAACGGTGCTCCCAATTAAAGGACCATTTTGATCACATTAACTGTTGGGATGGCACGATGCCTTGTTCTCCCCTGTAATATTGATCCTCCAGGACTGCTGAATATACAAAATGAGGATTAATGATCAAATACTGTAGCCGCAACAGAGTGCTCCGCAACATCAGTACAAAGGGCTGCCACTTCTGTATAGATGGATAGATGTTTTTTATTGATCCCAAATTAGGATTTTATTTGTATTATATCGGCCCCTCGCATTGTTGTCAAATCAAGATGTATATGTTTGAGCACCCAAATTAACTTTTAATAACCAACATGTTCAACTAATTACCAGATAGTTGGATAGATTTTTTTATGGTCTATAAAATGTCAGGAAATAGAGAAAATGGCAATTTAAATGTCCTATAGCACAGGCTGGCTTTTGAGTAGTTGTAATGTTCAATCAACACAAATATTCATTTAGAAAGACTGGGCAAAACCATCAAATCGTCACATTTAAGAAGCTGGAACCAGTGATGTTTTAGGGCATTATCGTTATTGTTGACACTATTTCTCTCAGTTGAGTAATTGTACATTGAAATGCTTAACATAATTCTGCAAATGTGGAATGGCTAACATAGGGTATGGTATAACACAATGAAAATTAGATTTAAAGAAATTACTCAAGGCACAAAGCATATAGGGGTAGGTTGGCATTTTTGTTAAATGTCCCTCTTAAGCCCGACGGACCCGGTTCTGGGCCCGAAATCGCGTCATTTGCAGGAAACAACGTCTAAGGAACGTCTATAATTTACAGTTTTTTACCATGTTCAATCTGAATTTTCTTTAAAATAAAAAACATCTATACTGATTCTGACTTTTCTACATCCAACTCACAGGTTTATAATTACTTTGAGAAAAAAGATTATTAATTTAACCCTTTTAGAAGCGAAGATATGGTCATTTGTTCTGGGAATATCATTTTCAAGCCTGAAACCTGAAAAACAGGCTTGGGGCTTAAGACGAGTTGAACAGTGTTCCATTTCCCCATTGTCAACCCTCAATATCTTTTGGTGCTAATGTGAGGATTTAATGAAATAGAGAATTTTTTTCTAGGTTACGGAGTGATTGCTCTTAAAGTGGCTCTTGCATATTACATGAATGTCATTTACTTTCTCTATCGTGAACCATATTCATTGAGGGTCCTGCATGTGAAGAACCTCTCCGTCTTCCCATGCATCTGATTCAACTGGACAGTTTCACTCTCCCTCTTACACTCGTTTTCTCCCGTCATGGTCATGTTTACGGCCAGCGTGTTGTTTCCTGGGTGCACTTCTTAAAGTGGCTTCCACCCAAAACATCTGATAAATAAATAATGGGCTTCAACAAGAGAAAGAGCTTTTTCTTACGCTCGCTGTCGTCCGTCCAGAGCTTTGAGAAATCATCTCATCGGTTACCGGACAGTCTACAATGAGCAGAGGCCCATAAATCTCCTCAGTAGCTGCATTTGTGTCCTGTAGATCAGCCATTATTGTCCGGCCCCTCTGTCAGCCCATCCATCCTTCTGCCATTTATCAGAAATGCATCCTGTACATGGAGTGGGAGGAAGGGGAAGAGAGAGATAGGGGTGGTGGGGAGGGGCTCTGGTTTCATGATGGTCAAGACTAGATAGGAAATACTGTTCTTCCTCACACTATAATCACATCCACTGAGTTTTAATAACACATACAGTAAGGCTCCTGACAACCTAACACACAAAATGCAATGCAGTTTTCAGAGACTATTTATAGATTGAGCAGTATCGGAAATTCCTGCCTCCACCCCAATACAATGTTGATCGGTGGAATTTTGACATTTAACGAAAAACTTGGTGGCTTATTCACAGACCTTACTGTAAACGTTTTGTTACCAAAAGAGCATGCTTTAAGAAAGTATTATAGTTACAGGAACCCAATTATGGAAGAGTGAAGCTGCTACTGAATTTGTAACACATTATGTACATATTAGTACATATGTTGTCATGCAAATGATAGCATTTAGCTAAAAAAGAAAATCAACTGCGCTTAAGTATAGCCTCACTAAGCTACTGGCATGGCTGTAGATTCTTAGCCTTGTTTTAATGTGATACCTCTGCCCAGCTGGCAGTAGAAAACAAAGAAATTGATTTCTTGAAACCCAACGAAATAAAGCCAGTCAGTTCATGGGTTCAACGAACCCTTCAACTAAGTCAGGAATTACACATTGTACATTTGTGTGTTAAGAGTTATTATGTTGGACTAAGTGGTTTATTGAACTTCAGTAGCTAGCAAACATATCTCTGTTCTAAGCAAATAGCATTTTGTTGCGACTACTGATGCAGATAATCCTTTAATAGTAATTCAATAACATCAATGCTAACCCGCTAATCCAATGACCACACATTATGATATGTTCCCAGTCTCACTAAAGTTAACCTGTTTAGCAGATGGGCATCTCTCTCTCCCAGTCAGCGGGGAGAAGGACATTGACTTCCCCAAACACTTGGTTCCTCCTGACCCTTGACCCTCTGACCTCCAGGTTAGAAGTAAGAGTGGTGGAGGCATAGAAGTTTAGACCCCTGCAGTCAAGGAGCAGGTCGGGAGTGCACGGCCATCATGCTCCACACAATCAATAACATCATCTGAGAAACGAGGGAACCGTTTGGAAGCGTAGTGGCCTGAAAATAGGAACAAAAACAGCAGCTTGAACCCAAGCTACAGTTACTCATGTTTGTTTTTATTTAGTATTCACAGGTTGCTTTTTAAGTTGCTTATTTTGGAATTTATGCTGGGGAAAAGTGAAGTCTGATGTTTGAATTGCGAAATAGTCATTTATATCTGTCAGTGAACATATTTGGTCCTCTCCCCTGTAAGTGAGGCTTTGATGGATGAAGAGCAGACTGTGTTGTATGAACCACTGGGGGAGCCGAGAAAGGTGAGAGAAGTGGCGAGGAATGTGATGAAACCAGCGCACAAAAATACTTTCCCCATCATTTTCCTCACAGTCAGACTCATACCCAACTGTGCAGTTAAACAGGCACACAAGGTTCAAGATCAGTGCAAATCAAAGTGTTTCTCCCTGTTCGCCCTCACCCTGTGCTCCGCTCCAGTGCCCCTTTACAGCCATGCCACGCGGCTCCGTGTCCCTGCCATCACTCCAGTCCGGAGTATATCATGCAGGATATTCTTTGAAAAGGTACTATCCTGTGAGACATAGAGAAAACACAGTAACACCAACTGACACTTAGTTGTGCAGGCTCCCTATCGTTGCCAACTATGCAGCCGGAGAGGGGGCGACGGGGTGTGTTGTGTTGGAGGAGGTGGGGGTCAAGGGGGACTTCCTGACAGGAAGGGAAGTCTAGCTGAGAGGGGAGAATCAGACGGGAGACTCCTTAAAAAATGGAGTGGCTTTTAATTTGGCTCCCAGCAGGTTTTACTGTGAGCTGGCTTCAAGAGGCTCGGGACCCGAGGGCCTCAAGTGGCACCAACGCTCGGTTATTTATACACAACCTATAATCGTGTTTCATATAAATGAATTTCCCTGACAGAGCCCTCTCCTCCTGACAGCCACTGTTAATGTAGTGTTTTCTTACCTGGCGGGTCTCAAGTTATAAGCACTTGGAATATATTCTTATGTTTCTCCCCCTGCTATCCTCTGTAAGTCATCCTGCTGATACAATCCTGAGCAGGATCCTTTGCTGTGCAGTGGAAATTCACCTCTCTGCATTTTTGATCTGTTTGATCTGGATTTACTGTCTTTTCTACAGTGCTCATATATCAGAGGCTCGACGTAGAATTCAGAGTTTCACCTAGTCATACTTTAAAAAACTATTTATTTTGTATCATTGGTATTTTCACTTGGCGTTGTTGAGATCAAATAAAAGCTAGGAGGAGAACACACACAAAGGTCAGTCCTTCTCCCACAAATGAATTAAATAGAATAAGAAAACTGAAAAACACATTTTAAATCAGTTTTTTTTACTCTGCTGTACTGGGCTGGATTTTTGTGTATGTCTTTATTTTTGCTGCAAATGTATGCAAAATACTATTCCTTACTGAAAAGTCTAGACCTACAGTCCTCTTAAAGAAACAGTGATAAAAATGCGGTTGTTGAATAAAAAGATAATATTATGTCACAGTAAAAACTGAACATCTGCTCCACTTAGAAGTGAAACAGCTGCACATTGTTTAAGTATTTTTATTCTCCTACATCATTAGAACTTACTAACATTCCTAACTGAAGTAACCAAATACCAGATTTGTTGCAAGATTAGATTGCAAATTATTTTGTCATAAGGGCTCTTTTTTTATAATTTGTAACATGCTGTTTACTTTCATGTATTCCACTTAAACATACTTTCCATGCTAACTCAAGTGTTAGAATGTGTTTTGGGTTTGTCTGTTTGGTGTATGGGGATGTTTAGGTCTTGTTTTTTTACTCCGTGTGTTACTGTAGCCATGAAAGTGTGAGTCCCTGATGCTCTTGGAGACCCTGCAGTATAAATATTTGGACACCAGTACATTTTCTCTCAGTTGTGATTTGAACACGCAAACACCAATACGAGTGTCTGTTTTTCTTTAAGGCGATACCATCAGAGCATGCACATGTGGAGTGTGGAGAGCTAGAGTTGACACACCGGTGTTAAGTTATACACACACACACACATATATGTTTTCAGGCACGGCAACATGAATAAACAACAAAAACTCAACTTCTGGACTAATTATTCAAAAGGACAATGATGAAGAACATCTTTGCACATTTTCTTTGTTTTGTCTTTCTCATCCGCACACATGGGCATTTTTCTGTTGTGGGTGGTTGCTGTTTAGAAACATTTGGACCACAGTTTCCACGTCTATTTATTTTTAATGTTCGTCAACACACAAAGGTTTATTTCAAGCCAGCGCATGTCATTGATATCTTAATGGCCACAGGAAGCTTTACTTTATAGCAATTAATAACTTTCATAATTAATAAAATATTTTAAAAGATGCAGTTTGTTTCCATCTGCTTTGGCTTTTTGCAGTCTTGTCTCGTCACCTTGTTATCAATCTTCTATTAACTTTCAGGTTTTTTAATATAAGAAAAGGAGAAAATCAGAAGCTCTCAGCCGGATTCAGCTTCTGCTGCAATGCAACATTTGATGCTTTATGCGTTTGTCGTCCCATCTAAAGTTGTATTCCCATAGCCTTTCGAATCAACAAATCTCTGTGATTATGAGTGATTCCACCTAAAAGCACAACCGATTTATTTATTATTTCGGTCGAGCAGAGCCATTTATTTCTTCAGTGTTGGAAAATATTTTCCCTGTGTTGTGGCGAGCCTGATTTTTGAAAGGCCATTTTGCTCAGGAGGTCTGTGTTTTCTCACCAGGGGTAGTGGTATATTTAGATGTTGATTATGGATAATCAGCTGTAATGACGGAAGTGCATGGCATGTGTGTTTAGACTCAACGCCATCACCGTGGAACACAGACAAACAGAGCTGTCTTATTGACTTCAGGTTGAGACATTTCCATGAATACTTGCAGTCATACACATCCTCGCACACAAAAAAGAAAAAAGGTAACAAAACACAGCCCCTACTACCTATATTAAACATTGAAAACATATCCGATCAAGGGACAGCCCTTTTTCTCAGTCCTATCATCTGTTAGGAGGTCAGGTTAAAGGTGAGAGGTCACAAATGGCTGCTTGTATCCTCTCATCAGCAGCTCTGTGGTCATGGCCCCTATTGCGACCATAAAAGCTGTGACACCGCTGACCTGGTCAGCCAAAATCCAATATTCTATCACTGACCTGTCTCTGTTTCCTTTTTGTCTCGAGACGTCCCTCAGATCAGGGTCATTACTTTTTTAATTCAACTAGAGGAGCCATTTTTTAGCCCGTAATGAAACCATTAGTCTTGCTATCACCTTTGTCTGTGTCCACGAAATGCCAATGGCCTCTAAATCGCTTGTCAAACCTAATTTAGAACCGAAGCTTTTCCGAGCTGCAGTTCTGCGATAAACATTTTATTTCTGCTGAAGCTTTTTGTTTCGCATTGAATTCTAAGACTCCTGCACTAAATTCACAAGTATTGTAAAGAAATAAACCAAGATGTAATGTCACTTATTTCCTGGTGCTCCAGAAAGGACAGCTCTATTTACATCCTCACTTCCTGTGGTGTTTATTTGAAATCCAGAAAGCACATTCTGGCCCGGTCTACAATATCACCACAGCCACAGGCTAACATGCATGCTTAATGTCCTTCAACTACAGTCTATGCTTCAACAAGAAGGCTCCAAGGCTGCTCTCACACACTTCCTCTAAAGCAAAACTCTGCCGCAAAACCCTCTGCCAGTTCTCAACTAAAAAACACTGTTTCCACTCCCAAGCCCAGACTTGTATTCCCTCTGTGCCCTCTTTATTTGGATGTATTGTAAACACGGTCAATGCCAATATGGACCTTCAGGACAAAAAGCAGTTTTGAGTTGAGGTTAAGTGTTAGGTTGTTGCCCGTATGACGTGCAGTTGGGTACAGAGTAGGCATTTCGAAAGGTTTAGTTTCTCTTGGCTTGATCCATGATTGGTTCTGATGGTTGTACGTTTGTTGTGCTGAAAGGGAACAACTCTATGGTATGGAAAAGCACCACATAAGTACACATATCTTTGGTTATGTATTAAAAACTTCTTGAAAATTGATCTTTCCTTCCTCCTTGTAGCGCTGATCTCCTTGTCCCTGCGGGCTCTCAGTTTACTGAAAGGCCAGTCGCTACATAAACACACAGCTTCCTCTATCAGCGCAAGAGATGATGACAGCAGAGTTTAAAAAGTGAATGCTTGGATACACATACGCCTTGTGTATCCTTCACTTTATAGTTGTTTCGCAACTCAATGAAACTGTTATCACAATTCAAATGTGCTTTGTTGAATTGTGAATTTCTGCAGGGTGGAATAAAAAAATACATCAGGATTATTTTCACCACCACTGAATTTTCTATTACACACTTATGAACAAATGACACTTTTTTTAATAAAGACAAATAACGTGGAAGGTATGGTGACACGTATGTCTGTGATTAATGATTTGAGAGCAGTTTGGTATTTCACGTCTCTAATCTGAGGTTTTTTGGGCATATTTCTCCATCTCCCCTGAGAGGAAGAAGGGGGGAAAAGCGCTGTGAGGTTCAGACAGGCCCCATGACCTTGTTGCTTTATTATTCTTTTGACGGTTGTGTTGAAGGTGTTGAAATATTGAACAGAACATGAGAGACGATGACCGCTAAGTTTTCCTTGCCTCGTTGTCCCTTCGAAATCGAGGATTTAAAGTCGCACTCGACTGTGGTTGGATTGTTTAGACTGACACCTCGAACCATAACGTTAGTCAAAGAGGAGGAGATTTGTGTATTTACTTTTGATAAATGCACTCTCAACACAGCTCTTTCACCCCTTTCAAATACTTCACCAGCTGATTATGTAGCCTGTGCTGACCGAAGCAGTCAGTACGCCTTTTTAAAGGATGTTTCATTTGACATGTAGTAGCAGGAAAGCTTAAGGAGAGCGTAAACCACTGAGTCACCACGATAGCTTATAATACCTAAGAATAGGTTTCAACGGGATTTTACAAGAACAGAACAAATAAGTAAAAGGAAAAAAAGATACATTTTTACAATAAAAAATGCAGTTTAAGCTTTCAAATGTTAAAATGTGCTGCTTTTCTCAGTTTGATATCATTTTATATTGAATATGTGTTGGTTTTGGATTGTTGGTTGGTAAATATAATTGTTAGTAAGGAATTTTAACTGATGAAATTATTTGACATTTTTTAGAAATAATTCATCAGCATTACCTTTTTAATTTAAATATGGCTGGAATTTATTTGACAATTTATAATTCTATGTGTCATGTGATTAACCACACCATGTGTAAAATGTACCATCTGTAACTCTGTAAAGTTGTTTCAGTGCCGTTCTTCACATTGTGTTTTTCCCATTGCAGGAATGGCAGAACTCCATCCAGAAGAATGCAGGTCTCGCCTTCATCGAGTTGGTCAACGAAGGCAGGTGGGTAACTCCGATATGCTGAACGCTGTCCTCTCAGCAGAACCACTTCTTCCTTCTTCATTATCTATCCAACCTCTACCCATCAGCCACTTTCCAATTTCACCATTCCTGGATCACACCACAGCCCCTCAGCCCCCAAAGATCCCCAAGGCCTCACTGATAGGGTGGCTGTTCAAGATTCTGGACAACAATCAATGATCGGGGTGGGGGCTGGTGAGGATGGAAGATCCTTGAGTTCAAGGCTCCATACAATGCATGCTCATCCTCGAGGGATTAGGGAAAAGGAGAGAGGTTAGGTAAAAGGTGACGGGGGCTCTGATCGCTGGTTCCTCTGTGACACTTGGGAAATGGCTCCTGATTTCCTCCTGTCCCTCTGTCAGTTATTGCCTTTCTAGTTGCGCCTTATCTGCCTGTAATAATCTCATCTGCCTGCCACTGTCTTTTGTTTTTCGTCAATACATTCTTGGTTTTCAATTATCCCGACATATAAGCCTCTCTGTTCCTTCCTAATAAGACTTCCCACATCAGTAACTCTTAGTCTTATAACTCCTCAATTTCAGATTCAGAGAGCCACATTTTACATTATTGATCCTCAGCTTTCAAGAATTGGCAGAGGCTAATCCAAAGTAATGCTAATAAGTCTAGCAATGCACTGTAGTCCTATGAGAGGGAAGGATTTGTAATTCAATTAAGCGGCTTATTCTGCCATAACTCAAGTCAGGGTGAGTCACTGAAGTGCATTCATGTGTATGCAAATGTGTGTCTGGTCTGACTCTTAGTGGGAATCAAACAGTCATTTAAATATGATTTCAACATGATTAGTTGAAAATCAAATTTCCTTCTAAACTGGTCATCATTTTACTTACTTAATCAAATCCAGATTTTATTCTATACGCAAGTCCATCATGATTTAGGTTTTGTGTTATTTATACAGTCTGTGGTCTTACAAGTAGTTTGACACTGGATTTTGTGTACAGGAGGCTGTTACATGTTCTAATATTTCATAGTTCAGGTATGTTTCATTAAACCTAAAGCTGTCACTGCTGGCTAAACTACCTAGGAAGTTGATCGTGTTGTAAAAAACACAGACTAAGTGACGTAAAAAATATATTGATAAATAATGATAGGCTATTTACTTCCCCTTATGTTTTTTTTCCTCCATATTAAGACCAGTATGACATCAAACGGGTATTAAAAAGGTGTACTAAGTGGCGGTAAACGTGTCTATCAGTATTGGATTAAACTTGGGGAAGCCAGCAGATTTTATTATTGGTAAATATTTTACTAGTTTGTTTCCGTAATGTCTTCAGAGATGTCTGTTTTGTCCATATACAGTGTTAAGCGCAGAGCCATAAAGCAGTGGCTCGGTTATTGATAGCGGGGCCTCGACAGGGCCATGGAGGCTGCAGAGGCCCCGGCACCTCCGCTCCCCTGCTGCCCTGCGCTGAAACAGCAGGCTTAGGTTACAGTCCTCCCCTGGCCCCTAACCCCCCCTTCTCCCTCCACACAGTCAGTCCCAGCCCCCCCATCCCTGCTCTCTGGCCCCTAGTCTGTTATTGTTCCACTTTGCACAGTCCTGACCTTAAGGGCTATAGAGAGGTTTCTTCGCCACACGCACACGCACACGCACGCACACACACACGCACACACGCACACACACACACACGGCATGCATGTTTCATTACCACTGATAAGAAGAGGGAGGTACACATTTAGCAACATGGGCAGAGATCCTCCCTCGTGTCAGATGCATATCATTAACAAGTCAATTAGCACCTGCACCCCAGCTAAAGGATCTTTCTGCTTTGGTTTTGCCCCTAAAATCTGATTTTCTGCTTATTTTCCACGGCTCTCTTCCAGCATTTTATGGCTATTACATGGCTGTTCCTTCTTACCAGATACCACAGTTTTAAACAGATGTTTTGACCTCAATATTTTATGATGTTGCCAAGCATCTGTATGGCATTTCCCCTTCTATGACTGCTGCAACATTGACATTCATATACCTAATAAAAGATATCTATTATGCAGTATTCCAGTGTGCTGATGTCCATCTGCCCTCTCCACAGGCTGCTGAGTCACACCATGAAGGACCACCTGGTTCGTGTGGCTAATGAAGCTGAATTCATCCTCAGCCGACAGAGGGCTGAAGACATTCACAAACATGCAGAGTTTGAGGTAAGATGCTCCACAGCTCTGGCAACTCATGCACAGGCACCCAAGCATGAGAACAAAATGACGATTGACCTAATATTAGAAAAGCAAAGTAAATCCTCTTTGGATAAATATAAGGGTCGATTCAAAAATATAATTTTTTGAAGATGCTGGATTGTAATCTGCTGTTTATGTTAATAACGACACAAATAAATAATATTCTGCAACTTAAATTGGAAATCTGTAACCTTTTTAAACAACTACAACGAATAGTAAACTTAGCAGAACGTGTTGCATTTATTAAACTGTTTTTAATGTCTTTTTTGGAGATATGCAATCAAAGTGTATTTTGCAGACCATTTAGCAAGCTTGCATGAAAGATTATTTACTGAAGTCAGTTGACAAATCTGATCAGCATTTCTCAATAGAAGAGTGTCCTTAACATGTTTTACAACGTTCAGATGGTTATAAAGACACATTTATAAATAGATGACAGATTTATACATTAATTGTTGCCTACTGTATGAAGAAACAGGGAAGATTACCCGGTCAAACTAGTGAAGGATTCGATCACAGACTTTTCTTCCTGTCAACAAAATGTTAACCAAGCACAATTTGTCGTAAGCTTCCATCATATTTCCTCCTGTGCTTCCTCAACTTGCTAAACTCTGACAAAAAACTGTATTTGTAGCTATAGGCCCATTGAACTAAGACTCCTTTGATAGAAGTATTTATAAATTTGATATTCCTATGTTTTGTCAGTGAATATATTTAATGAAAATATTCAGTGAGAGCAAAGTGGAACTGATCCAATGCCTACTCAAAACGTGTCCATCAAGTTTTAGGATCTGTCACAGCAAACCTAGAGGGTAAATGTTTGCTTTTCAAACATAACCTCTCCGCTAATCGTGAACACACACAAAAAACTCCCAGACTTACGCACACACACTGACTGAAGCACTTTGAGGCTGGAGATTGAGCTTGGCACAAATATCGCTAACCAAACATTGTGTAGTGTTAATTTATCTCTATGCCTCTCCGTTTAACGGCAGGCTTACCCCTGAATCATAGCTTCTCCCCCTCCTCTTGCATAAAGTTCTCACAGCACAAATGTTACCATTCACATGTAGCTGACGGGCTAACTCCATCCTGACCCATGGGCACCCTCAGTTGCCCCTTTCCCAGTCCAACTTCCCCCCCGCTCTGCTTTCTAGATCTCACCAAAATCATTTCCTGTCCTGCTGAGATCCTGTCCTTTATACTCCCGCTGGGGGTGTATTTTGCCAGTGACAGGAATATGGCATCCTCCCCTCTCTTCCATCCCTCCCTCGCTCATTTCTCAGGAACCTGCCAGCACTAAAAATCTGCAGACAGACCTGAGAGGTGCTGGCCTGAAGGGCTGACTGTGTGTAAACCCACCGCCCCAACCCTCAGCCCCCACTACGCAGTAAAATGTGATGCTTTTTTAAGGTTCAATGAAGGGTCTCTCTGACATTCAGGTAGAGTAAATTCCCTCAAGAGTGCTAAAAGTCAATCAGGGGGGTGGGGGTACAACTCTTAAACATCAACGTTTTGTCTGTGATTGCTATGTTTTGCTCCCTTTTGGGACAGGATGCTTTGTTATCAACATCCTGTTCGCATGCACCCCTGTTTCATCACTCCCATCACTCTTTTCCAAGTGTCAGCGTCGCAAACTGTACCATCTGACATGGCTTTATATTGATCAACATGGACTGGTGGATTCTACTAGGTTAATGTAGCAGATTCTTTATATACTGCATATCTACTTAATGAAAAGGTGTGCAGTATTTGACCTCTTGTAAAATGTATGCAAAGTTAGGCATCTGTCTTCATTTGACACAAGAGCAGCACAAGTAAAAATGGCTCAGAGTATGTTGCCTGACTGGCAGCCACTCTGCACCGAAAGCCCCGAATGATCTCTGCTCTGCCCGGCCCCTCGCTGTGGCAGCAGGCCACACACTCCTCCGTTTCTAAAAGTTCCAGGCTTAAGTAACTGATTCCTTACCTGGCATGTCGTAGCTTGGCATTGCACACAACAACCTGCCTGTTCCAAACTGGATTGATTGTTTTGCTTGTTTTGTTATAATAAGCTCTGCCAGTGTGTGTTGCCATATTTATTTTTAGCTGAATCTTATGTACAAAGGTTACTAAAAACTAAAACGTGTTAGCCCTAATATTTGAAATATATGTCTAACAAGGGTTGGGCATAAGAATAAGTTCATTACCCGACTTAAAATACAAGTCCTTGTTTCACATAAGACTTTAGCAAGCATACAGTTATTTGACCAAATCCCAGCATGCTTGAACACATGAAATGATTATTCTTTGATCCATATTTGGTATAAAAGTGTAGTTATACATTCTACTCTGGGCTCTCATCATTGACCAGTTTTCAGTCATAGCTGTAATGTGTATAAAAGACTGGGGGCTTACATACACTGTGTGACGTGTAATAGGGTCATAGGTTGTTACATTTCCAAATGATCAGCTCTGTTAGTTACAACTGTCAGTCAATCGACTGCTAACATACAACTAATGGAAAGCTATAACTTTTGTTTAGTTGTTTTTTTCGTGTTGTCATTGGAAACCTACTCTACCTTTCCAATCTTCCAGCCGTCCTTAATCAGATACCTGGCCCAGCTCGTCCCAAACTATGTTTCACAATTGAATTCCCCACTTAAATGCAGCTGCTCCTCTGTGACCTCTGAAAGAAGTGAAGCCCTGATAAGTCTTGCTCTGATATTGCTGTATTGATTTTTGCCTCCATACAAGCCCTGCCCTAGCTGCTAGAGCCAACGGTTTCATTTTGCACTGCCACAATAAAAATAACAGGCCAATGAAACATCCCCCCTGAGGGTGGGGGTTGGAGGGTTTTGAAATAATTTTCAGCTATGTCCTAGCTTTTTTTTTTTTTTTTTAAACGTTGTTTCTCTGTATTGTGTTTCTGTGACACCAAAGGTTGGTTATTGTTTTGTGAGAAATCAACCTTAAAAGGGGCCTCATTGTGTTACACTGGAAGTGAGGAGGTTTGCACAGTCATGCAGTTACAATTGCCAGCACATATTCTGCATCCTCCCTCACTGTACTATTATGCCTTTAAAAAGTCCTGCTTTAGTTTAACAGCAACACCAAGGCACCAGAAAAGAGTATAATTCAATACATAAAAACAAATGTATGTTTGCTCCTTGTCACAGATGATATCCTTTAGAAGGCAGTGATGTAGGATTTAGATACCCAGCATAACATATGCCTTCTCTCTCTGTTTCCCACTCACACTCTCACTGGCTCTCTGTGGGACAGAATTGAGTTATCTCTGGCCCTGAGAGTAAGTTATTACAGTGGGCTTAGGGTGAAACAGATGAAGATAACTGGGGGGAAATCCAATTACCTTTTAGGGTTCTCTATCTAAAAGGATCCTTAATGTGAAGGAGATCTGCAGATCGGATGCTGCTGCCCAGCACAGCAAATGATAGACTCTGATATCTTTCAGAGGAGCAGGAAGGAGAGGGGAGCCCGAGAGATAGAAAGGAGGGGAGAGAAATCGAACTCCCTCTTTTTATGGGGCTGTTCATTAGGGATGAAATGTGGTGGGCTCAGGGGCACAAGGGCAGATAAGAAGGTCCAGATAGGGAAGAGTGAGCAAGACCCAAGTCGTTTCTATTCTTTCTTACCCTTTCCTTCCCCTCAATCTTTTTCCTTTTTTTTATACACCCCCTTGATTCATCTTCTGCTGTTATATGGAGTAATTGAATTGACTGTCTGAGAGATCCTGTGAAAGCCAGACGATAGCAGCTAATTAGTGCTTGGCGTCATTGTCTTCCCTCTGCTGAGCTTGTAAAACGATCTGGTGCTGCTCCCACGTTAATGACATTAACATTGAGCTGATGCTCATTATGTTGCATTATCATAGCACCGCTCTCTGGAAGCGTGTGCATCACAGAGAGTCTGGGAGAGGATGCACTATGATAGCTTTAAGGGATACTACATCCACACAAAATGTTATTTGTAAAACAGTTACTCTTCCCGTGAATTTTGGAATACAATATAACTGTTTATTGCATGCGTAAGACCTTGGTGAACAAAGAATACAACAAATAGAGAAAAGTCTGGATGAATGGAAGCGAATCGGCAGCATAAAAACGTTTTACAGTTGGCTGTTGAATGAGGCATCCATATACTTCCATTCATCAATACGTTTCTCCTTTTTCAATTCACTGTGGAATCTTGCCAGAAAAACACGTTTTATTTAAGAATTCAAGGTAACACTGGGTTAGAAATTTCAATCGGATGGTTCTTCTTCTTTCGTGTAACGTCAGAGGTCCAACTCGGTGTCGTGTAGCCATGCCCGTATCTCTGGTCCTAAGTCGAAGAGGCTGGCTTCCGAGGGTGGTCTATATAAAGGGCAGGTGGTTATTATATGTTCGGCAGTCTGTTCAGGGTCACCGCACTCGCATGCAGAACTGTCTGCCAGGCCCCACTTCTTCATTGATGTTTTGAAGCGACCGACCCCAGTTCGTAGGCGGTTTAGTGGTCCATTCCCGGCGTGGTAGGTCGTCTCCTCCTATGGTGCCATCTCCTGGGTCTCAGATGTAGCGATGGATGCGGGAGGGCCCGGCTAGCTCCCACTCCTGCTTCCAAGCAGCCGCCAACCATGCATCTCTGGCGAGGTCCTCAGAGGTGGAATTGAGAATCTCTTGTGCTGTCTTAATCGGATGGTAATTTTGTGTGTAAGGTACTCCTTTAAGTAAGCCTGAGCTTAAGTTACATCCCAATTTAAATATAGCCTACAGGCAGAGCAGTTCTCTTATTCCATACAAGCCTGTTTTAGAGAATTACTTTCATTGTGAAAACAGAGGCCATCTGCTGATCTACGGTTACTCAGACACACACAGGAATAGCCAGAGAACCACAACTCCCAAAGGCTATTTACACCACATCATTCACAGCTCTCTGACTGATAGCTGCCACCAACTGTAGCTCGCTGTCATGTAGTTGTCGCAAGTGTAATGTAGCATGTCAACTGGGCTGTGTGTCCGGCAAAACTGCTGTCAAAAGAACGAGAGGAAAATGTCTACGATTGTGATCGCATTGTGGGGAAACCATTAAGATATGGCTTGAAATGTCATATACAGTAAGAGAAAAACTAATCAAGACGGGATAGTATTAGCTCTCTCACATAATGCTGATTTTACTGTCAAAATGTAAAGCTAATAGGCATCTGAGAACAATGCCATCCTTACCTTCTTGGTAGAGGATATTTGTTCTTAACTGTACAACATGTGCTGTCTCACTTGAGAGAGAAGTGGGTTACAGAAGATGGTTGGGGAACAGTTGTCTCAGTCTCTATGACTTGTCTGCGTAATGAAGTCCCAAGGTACCTTTTCCGTAGCTCCCATCATTTTGTTTGACCAGCTAACCCGAAATATGACTTTATTTCATAGTCTTATATTCAGTATTCAGTGGAAGAATGTCCTCATGTTTTTTTATTATGTTAAGGTGAGCTCAACATTCTGAAAAACAAGGATTTCTAGCTGAGCAGAGCAAGCAAAAAGTCAGTTCGCTGCTTAAATTTCATATTGTTCAAAGAAATGTGTTTTTAAAATTCAGCCTGAGGTCAAATCCACTATCCTGTATTCGTGCTTTCAGGAAACATCCAATCCAGAGGACGTGTATTTGTCATCATCGGGGCACGTCCTTTCTTCATTTGACTATTTTTCACCTCCAGACGACAGTATGATTTTTCACGTGGCATGACCTTGAAGCTGAGCAGGAGTCATTGTAGAAAAATGGCAGCAACGTAGACTGATGTGGCGAGAGGAGGGCGCGATTTGCTAGAGACGAGAGGTTTCTGGGTACAAGAGATGAAGAGGCTGCCAGCCGAGCATGGTGACCATTAAAGATCAGCCACATACAGGGGAGGGGCAGGGTGAAGGAGGGGGAGAGAGATACTTTGATAAGTGTTGCGCCTGCGTTAACCTTGATGGCCGCTAGCAATGGTACGGTGCCAGCAGCACGGATCTGTTTCAACTGGATTAGATTATTTCTTCCCCCTCCTGTGCTCCGAGAGAAGAACAAAAAATCAATACTTGGGAGCACGGCATGACAGGGGCATCATTTCAGAATTGAAGTGGCTGTCAGGCATTGTCATTTGGTGACTTTTGTTCGCCATTGTACTTTTAAGCCCTCATTTTTCTCCCCCTCCTCTTCCTTTCAATCGTTTCTTCCCTAGCCATTGTCTGAATTCCCCTGGTGACATTTTATGTTGCAATTTGAAAACTCGAGGCCAAGAGATCAAGTGCAAGAGAATCTCTGTGAAACCAATTGGTGGACTGGTTCGGCATGTACTTTTGTTTAGCGACCCCCATCCTCCTTTCTCATTTCAACCTCTTGTCTCTGAAGACCTCCATTGTGTTCCAGGAGGAATTTATTTGTAGTGTATTTGCATTCTTTGATACAAGACAAGGACAAGCCTGATGTCTCGCCTTCCTCTGGACAGTTTCTCTGCCCGTTTGTAAATGAAACCCTCTGGGAGTGCTTGTCGACGTTATGTGAGAAATTGAAGATTCTAGCAGAACGATAGCCCAGCCTCGGAGAGTGTGTAGCCCTGATGTGCCACTAGTGTCAAGAGATTGCAAATCAGGCGCTTTAATAACATCTCTGCTGGTTTTGTTTCTTCCTCCTGTTCTCTGACAGAACCCTGAGACCCTGGTTTTGTCAGTCGCCGTGTTGAAAGGAGGCTCGGCAACACACAACCAGACCTTTCTCTGTCACTCTAATTGATAAACATAGGGCTGATATCTTGTAATGAGACTCCATTCTCCAGACCATTATACTGGTTAACCCTCTCAACCCAGCGAGGGAGAGGAGGAGGGGAGCCGAGGCCTCATCTGACAACAACTACAGCATTTAGATAAGGCTGACACTGCTACAACACCACTGTGAAACTCCTCTCCTGGTTTCCCCTGCTTATTATTTGTAGAAACATGAGCCAGTGGCGGTGTGAACCCCAACAACAATTTAGGCAACAAAAACCACCGCGAGTGTTTTATTGGCTGGCTCAAAAAGAGGTTCAGCAATGTGATTACGATGAATGCGTTTCAAAGCTTTGTCTTTGTACGTGCCATTATGTGATTTTTGAGGTGATTGCTGTTTTTTCCACTACCCAAAGCAGACCATTTTCTCCCCAAACTCCAACACACATCCATAGTTATTTTTTTGAACTGTTGAAGAATTGTAGGCGACACGGCTCAGTGTAATTGACTCGATTAATGCCAGCCATTACCATTTGGTCTTCACCAAGCTGTCTCCTCCGGCAGAGCCAGGCGACCCTGTCAGCCAGGACATGTAATGGAAGGTGCTGCCCATGATTACAGTGTCGCAAGTCATAACGGTCTCACTGCCAGCAAGCCCTGGTGGCTGTCTGGGTGTGAATTTAACAGAAGCATATATGCTGCCGTGCCTTCAGCTGCACTCTTTTAACTTGCTAAATGGAGGTGTTTGTCTCTGAGTGGGTGTTTTTAAGGTTGTTTTCTTGTCACACTGGCAGCTTCAGTCACTCCAAAAGAGGCATGGTTCTCATTCCAAATAGGAGCAGATACTTTTAATGTACTTATGTTCTCTCAGCATTCCTTGAAAGAACAGTTTGTTTGAAAACAGCCAAAAAGCTCTTTTTTACTTTCTGCCCTTTTATCCTGTCAGACAGATGGGAGATTTGGATATTCGCTTTAACCTTCGTAATAACAAAACATAATAAGTCCTTCATAATACCCTGGCCTATCCTCTGACTTCACATCAACGGAATGACCCGAGCATTAACGGTGACTTGTCTTTTCCACTTATAGGCAGGCCCAACATTGGGTTTTAATGGCACTAGTGATGTGTTCAGCTTTTCTGGTTGTTATTTTAGGGTTGAGCCTGTGAATTTGGCCTTTTCTGCTGTAGTCATCTTTGGCTTGGGATATGAGAAAATCCCATTACAGCATGGAGGGCCGGGGTGTTTGGGCAGGCTCAACACACAGGTGATGAAGTGTTTGTTTATGGTTATGAGCTCGAACCCGGCACTGTTGATTAGTACTGCAGACTTTACATGTCTCTGACGGGGGCAAATGGAAATTAACTTTACAGGAATGCAACTTACCCTTCCTACCCTTACATTTTTTAAAGATGTTTGATGTTTGAAGTGTCTCTCTATTGTCCCAGAATAAAATGTTTCTTTCTGGAATAGGTATATCATACAGCGTCTAATGCAAAAATGTGATGCTGTACGCCACTTGAATTGAAACCATCCTCCTGGTCCCTTCCTTTGGTCCAGCTTTTTGCTTGCCTTCAGCTGCCACTGATCAAGATTAATGGACACACACACGCGCGCACACGAACAGCCCAGCATTTTCTTTTGAAACACTTACTTGAAAATTCCTTTTCCGTACTCCCTTTTTTGTTGCGATTTCCCGGGTCATCATGCTGAAAGGTCAAGGTCCACTTTGATGCCACACAAAGAGACATCGATGGATAATTAAGGCCCAGCAGCCTGCAGAAAAGCCCCTCTAATTTGATTTATACCTATAGATTTTCTGTCTGATATGAAATGTTGTCGTTCAAATTGAAGAGGATGACCCATTATAAAGCGCTTTACTGGTAACTTTCGGAGAGCAGGTTTCATTTGTTAGGCCATGTATCTAGGTTTATACCAATGGCTTAATTTAAGGTTAATTTGATAAGGACAGTCATATATAACCGAAGCAGCATTAACAATTGAATGAGCTTTTGTTCGTAATACTGTTGCCTTTTGCTTTAGTTTCCCGTCTGAGAAGATGCAGAGGAAATATAAACGCACCACTCTGAGCCTGATGATCTATAAGGCGAGCAGCACTATACATAGCACATGTTTTTCACACCCTGGCCCTCTACTAACGCTGACTTTCAGTAAGAATATCTCTTTGAAACAACACTTTGAAAGTGAGCCATGAGTGCAAGAGGAGATTGAAATTGATTCTGAAACAGAGATTGGAAATCAAAACAATTTATAGCTGTTATTTTCAGGAGGTGTTTTACTTTTCCCATCGCTGCAGAGTTCAAAGGTCCATTCTGATAACAAATTCCGACAGAGAAAAATGTCCTCCCTGTGCATTGTGGGTATCGTGTGATTTGGTGTGCCGTAGGGCATTAGTAAATGCGTGTCCACTGTTATTAATCAACATGACATGAGGACAGAAATGACCCTATGCTTTTCATTTGGTTCGACTCAGTTTCTATATGTGAAACTGTATCTTCTAAACATGTTTTTCCCATACATGTCCTATAAGATACTAACACAAATGATCATTTATATGTTGTATAATTCAGTCTCTTGACACATTCGTGCATGTCTTTGAAATGTACACACTCGAGAGGCCTTCTCTTCCAGAATATATGTTTAATGCATCTTTTCTCTTTCTTTTGCAGTCGAACTGTGCGCAGTACGCCGCGGAGAAGCGAGATGAGGAGAAAATGTGCGACCACCTGATCCGAGCAGCCAAGTACCGCGACCATGTGACCGCCACGCAGCTCGTCCAGAAGATAGTCAACATCCTGACCGACAAACACGGAGCCTGGGGAAGCTCGGCCAAAAGGTAAAACCAAAGTCTAAAAACAAGACAAATTAATTAATTACGGACTTCTTTTTACATTTGTAAGTACATTTTAGTTTAAAGACAGATATTTTTTTAATCTCTCAATTTGGGGAACATTTCTGAGGTGCTGTTGAGGTTTTTGTTTACATTAGTTTTTTGCCTGTGTTCTTTTTGTTCATTTCAAAATGACAAATGATCCTTTAAATGTATATGATACCACAGTTGTGTTACCCACATGTCTGGATAGTTTAGCGAGACAATAACTTCTCATGGTATAGACGAGCCTTTAATCAAGAGGATGCACCTGTTTTGTTCTTTTATGCACAGTGTTCGTAGCATGTCATTTTCTCATCCTTGAAAATTATTCAAAGCCCTGTAATGGTTTTAATCTCATCATAATCTTTCTCATCCCCCAATACTCATGGCTTTGATTAAATTAGATTTGCAAAGGTGAAAATGTCAGCTGTGGGTTGAATGATGCATTGACTTTCGAGAGAGATGAAAGCCATTTAAACAGCTCCGCTCCCATTAAGAACAGAGGGAACCCTATCCTCGGTGTTTGTTTCGCCAAATAGGCAGCAGAATCCAATGCAGCTATTCCCTAATGATGGCTGTTTGTGCAGGTAGTGTGTAATGGTGAGCCGGAGAGGCGGCCGCTGGCTCGTGCTTGTTAGGCTGAACCAACTCTCCAGAGACTCGTCTGGCGAGGGTTAGCTTGCTGTTGGATCAGGACTCTCTCTCTCTGGCTGCCTTTGTTTTCCTTTTTTTCCCTTTCTATTGAATCAGGATGGAGTGCATTATTTGTCATATTTCTTTTCTCCTTGATCCCATCTCTCTCTCCCAATGCTTCTTTCACTATTTCTCTTTTTCTGTTGGACTCCATGTGTACTCGCACAAAGCTATTTACTATGGAGATTGTGTTCTACGAGCCCCGGCCAGAAAAGTCCCCCATTACCAGCCCTTTATGCCGTTGCACTATTGATGGTTTTCCTAATGGCTGCCGATGGGCGCAGGGAGCCATTGGCACTGGGCCTTGGAGTGCAGCGCTCTTTTAATAAATCACAATCAGCCCTGTGCCATTACATCAATATTTTTGGTCAATTACTGTGAAGGTCAGGTGGTGCAGCTTCGCACCAGGGCTCCTGGTATCTGGGCACTGGAGAAACATCTGGCGCTGCAAAACCCAGAACAAGGAAAAGGAAAAAATGCACACAGAAAAAAATACTTGTACTGTAAGTACACCTGCAGTCTTTCCTAATACAAGAGATGTTGGTTCCCTTATTCCATACAACAACAAAACACGTGATGCAGCACCATCCCAGAGTGTCAATACAGTTGGGAAGGGAAGGACGGATGAAACCTACAACCTTTTTCCAGCTGTGAAAATGAAATCCAGGAACACAAAGACAATGCGCAGCTATGATTACGACCTTTTGTTGCTCGGGTGTAAAATCCAAGCCTGGCTGCTCACACGCCATAAAAACGTATTCCCCAAAGTTTCTATTCAATAAAGAGTCTGAAAATGAAAATATTATTTTCTCACAAGCTGATGGGAATTGTTGTTTCCTCACGGCAGGCATCTAATATCTTCTGACATAGTGTGACCCGCCTGAATGCAATTTGTGTCTTAATATCCAGCTTACAGCCGCCCCGGCCCCTGGAGGAAAGAGGTGTTAGGTGATTTTCCCTTTTCCATTCCCTGCTTTGTCTGTGGTTCTCTCTCTCTTCCTTTCTCAACGTAACAACATACCATTTATTCTCTCCTCTTGTCCCACTCCTTATCCTTTTGCTCTTTTTTGTTTCACTATCTCCTTCAGTTGTATCAACGAGCGTCCAGGGAGGATTCCTTTCACCAGACAGTGGCAGTATCTATCTTTTTTGTGCCCTTGTCTGTCATCTTGTGTCAAAACATAGACAGATCTGCAGTCAGACGGATAGGGCGACTACCTGTTCATCCATACTATTCTGTCCCAGTGCCTCGAGACCCAGGTGTACAACATGCCAGCCTGCTGTCTTTTTAAGGGAGAAAAAAAGTAAATGAACAGCTAGCAAGATATCCACAAATGAAACCGCTGGCAGTTGTCATTTTTTTCTCTCCTCATCTCTCCAGTTTCCCCCCCTCCTTTTCTCTGAGCTTGGGTCCACCGAGCATCCAGTGTTTATTTGGGTCAGGAATCATCTTTCATGTATATGACACCTAGACAAAGTCGACGGACAGCGAGCGGAGATGAGGGCAGATGATGGAGAACGCCAACTCACGGTCTCTGGGGACCCGCACTACTCCTCTTTTCTCCCCTCTCATACCTTCTCTTTATTGCAATCTAATAGGCTGACTAATGTACCATGGAAATTCACTCTGGGTGTAGGAGGCGGGGAAGTTAACGGGAAGGTGGCTGCAGCTAAGAGAAGGTTGAACTGTGATGTAGAAGCAGTGTGTTCACTCTGTTGTTGACAATCTACTGATGCAGTCAGTCAGTTTGAGGCAAATGGAAACAATATTCAAGATGCAGAGGTTTAGGTATACTCCCTGGAATTTGCTGTTCTCCCACTTTGTCTTACTCTTGCCTTTTTTTTAAGCCTGCATCAGCATCCTTTTTATTCCAACAATCCTCACCTCCAGCTAGTCCCCCCCCCCCAAACACACACACACACCTCGAGCACCAACTCCTCTCCCTCTGCTCCTCCTCCCTCATATAAGCAGCTCATTTTCTGCAGCACCACTGCTCTAATGGACGCCCTTAGGCTAGAGGCTTCCCAGCCAAGGGACATCCATCTTTCCGCATGTCACACTCCCGCCCGGCAAAAAATCTTTGTGATGTGCACTCCAATTTTTCTTCAGTAAATCAAATCTTCCTTCCTTCAGAAAGACGAATGCTTTAGGGTTGGAGTGTTATAGAGAAAATCAATGCCAGCAAAATTGAAACAGTATGCCCCCGTATTGATCGGCCTTGTGAGATCGAAAAGGAACAGCTTTGTAACTGTTCCGCTGGACAGTTAGCTGACCTGTAATGGACAAACTATTGATATTAGCATTACTATTTTATCTTGTGTCATTTCGCTAGCGCACTATTGAGGGAAAGAAGCCGGAGCAGAACGTTCACTGTTAGAATTTCTTTTTACTTGTTATCCACTAATGATACAAAAGATGGTGGGAAATGGTGTCTCACAATATACAGAGGACGGTTTTCCTTTGTGCTCTCTTCTCTTTTAATAAAGCTTCTTCTTTATAGGATATCACCATAAAATATACACCATTGTAAGTTGTGCATGAACAGAGTGAGTGCAGAGCAACTCTATATTCATTGTATACATACACCTTACATATTATCCTGTAAATTATTTATACTTTACTAATTTTGCTATCTTAGTTCAGGGTGTGATGTCACTAAATATACATCTAATGTGATTTAACAATTAATTGATACGATTTACATTTTTATTTAAAGCATCTTAAATTTGGTTTAAAATGTTATCACTATAAAACAGACTATTACTTACTAAATCATCTTAAAAAATACATCCTAAATCGTATTCATTAAAAATATAAAACTCAGAATCCCAGTAATTTGGCCAAATCAATACTCTGTTAATGTCGTTAGCTCAGATTTAATTGACAGTATCATCTCAGATCTTGCTAAATTCTGATTGGGCCACTGACATTAGTGAAATAGCAGAATACAGAAGATCTCTTAATTTAAAATAACCAAAACCACAATATGATTTTATAGTGATATTAGGAGGTTGATAATAAGTGAATATGTTTTATAGGCCTTTAATAAATACTCTGTTTATGTTTAACTTATACATTTATAAAACATGTATTGTAGCACCACTGCTCTGTCCTGCAGTCCTTGTTAGTTTTATCCCACACGTTGAGCCTCCTGGACTGCAACTGTATCACCCTCTCAAGATATCTATTAATTATACTCTGAACATACTACCGAGTTATGCTTACTACAGTGTGGCCATTCTTGTTCACATAGCATTTTTTCTTCATATACAGTAAATGATTGCATGAGAAACCGCAGCAGCACGATTCATCTCTACTTGTATGCTTTCATTCTAGACCTAAATCACAATTATGATACATAATACTGAATGTAATGCATGTGTTAAAGCCGAGGTCTGCACAATGTCTGCGCTGCCTTTGCGTGCCTGCTTCGTGGACACTGTACATTACGGCTGCGCTGGTACTGTGCACGCAGAGCTGAAAAAGGAAATGGGACTCCAGCACGTCAGCGGAGATTATAACCATAGGAAACAAGAACATAACTGTTTAGAGTACACTGACTCTTGGAAATGCACGACACGAGAGGGGCAGGAAGACAGACGGGGACAGACGGGGAGAGAGGGGGAGAGAGAGAGAGTTGGATGGAACCAAGGATGAGACAGAGATATTTGTAACTGAAGCATTACAAGTAAAGATGGAGACAGAGACAAGACCAGGACATTTTTTTCCTACATCATATCCTCTCGCTGCAGTATACACTAAACCAAAGCGATGAGTGATTGCACAAATCTGTATGTAAAAGGTTAAGAGCGTGTCATGTTTGCTGGATGGAAAACTCTGCAGCTGCTGTCTTATCTGTCCATCAGACTGACTTTTGTTGTGTTTAGGAACAGAATAAACAGTGTAGCTGGATCTGAAATATTTTCTAATTCGAATTTATACATCAGATTTGGTCATTGCATTAATTTTTGCACCCCACCGTTCTACACAGCAATTGATGTTGTTTCTATTTCAGTCTTTTCTAGCTAGTCTTTTTGTTACATATTTCACCAAATGTAAATCTTGGTGGATGTTAAATGGCATTTAGACATTGATAATCTCTGAAACCAGCCCATCTTTGGATTCAAAATAGTCCATGACTTTGTACAGTAATTAAATAGTCATTTATAAAAGGAATTAGCATTGGTTTGCTTATAAATACGTTGCAGTCTAAACACAAACATGACCTGCTGTATGAGCAGTGGCAGCTGTAGCAGTCTGAAGCTCCCGG